AGTAGCATTACAGCCCCCGCCCCCCTCCCCCCCACTATTCTTTGGCGTTTGTTGGGAAAGAAGACGAAAAAAGACCCAAGTCCATCAAATCTAGTTCGCCTTCTACCATCCTGACAGTCGCTTGCTACAATAATGGGGATGTTGATAGGAATTAATTCTGTATGGATTCACCTGCAGCACAGTGGGACGCTTTGGGATCTTTGGATCCAAAGTTGTCTGGTTCTTCCCAGCCAGACTATACCTACTGCATGACATGTGTATGTACTGGTATCCACAAATATTGTTTTCTAAAAGATATCTTATCTGATTTGTATTTGAATGATTAAGAGTGTACATGTTTGTGAATATGCCAGACTAGGCTGATACACCGGTGCAGTGCGGCAGGGGGGTGGGTGGTGGGTGGTGGGGGGCAGAGGCACAGTCCACCTTCGGATCAGCTGTTAAACCAAGCTCCTGTCTGTCTCTGTTCGGGTGGACACTAACTCTCCAGTGACTGTTGGAGAACAGGAGGGAGTTTCTTCTGGTGTCCTGGACAACAGCCCTCCAGGTAAATTAGTCATTTGTTTGGTGTCTGCATGTGGGACATCATCACAGTATACAGAATGTCTGCTGTATTTGCCTACAAAATACACAATCATTCCACTTGACCACGATTGTGTGTGTGTAAAGCTCTGGGATGGTTTGACGTTACAGAATCTGTATCAAAGGCCTATTATTCATGCCCTGTTGAGGGCATCCCTTGTTTTCCCCTCCTCTGGGCCTCTCCCTTTTCCCACATGTTTCACTCGACAAGGGAAGGTTGGAAACGCAGCAGAGGTGCCGAGGAGATGGTATGGCCATAAGAAAGACAAGCTTAAAAATTCCCAATAAAATAATGCAAACTCCAATCAACTTTTATTAGATTTTCAATCAGTTAGCAGTAAAACGTAGTTTTGCAGCTGCTGTTGAGAATGTGTGTGTGTGTGTGAGAGAGAGAGAGGGGCTCAGGGATGGAGTCTGGGACCATCCCTCTGTGTGTGTGTGTGTGAGAGGGGCTCAGTGTTGGAGCCTGGGACCATCTTACCCTGTGAATGTGTGTGTATGTATTACAAAACTACAAAGGGTGTTCAAGGTCAGTGGTTTGGTTTCCGATTGCCGATGAGACGTGTTGTCAGTTTGGAGGCAGGTTTTGATGATGTGAACCTGAGCGCTGGAGAGGGAGAGGGGTTGGGTTTCAGTGTAGATGTAGAACCGGCCGGCGGCGAGGAGAAACTCAGACTTTCACCTTTCTTTCCAACTTATTAAACACCAACTCTCTCACCTACCGTGTAAGGTTATCCTGCAAGCAGAGTCTTGTCAAACTTGTGCAGCTGGACGCCAAGGGTGGATGGGGGGGGGGGGAGAATGGCACCTTCCTCTCCCCCTCCACCCCCTCCCCCCATCATATCAAGTTAATCTTTCACTGTGGGAAAGATCCCTCTGAGCTCATTTAGAGTTCAAGAAAGTTAATTTTTTCTCACACTCTCTCTCACTCACACACACACAAACCACACAATATCCCATACCCACATTCTCTCTCACACACACACACACACACAAACCACACACACTCTCTCATATCCACACTCTCTCATATCCACACTCTCTCACACCCACACTCTCACTCACACACATACACATTATACACACTCTCTCACACACACACCAGGTCTCTCAGTCATTACAGGCACAGACTCTGGCTCTGTTGACACAATAGAGGGAGGGAGGGTAGGAACGAGGAGGGAATTGGAAGCTATAAGCCACTTTGCCTTCTTCACAAATGACTTCCACACTGGATTACGTCGGCTGAAGCTCTTTACGCCGGCTTTGAAATTAAATTGGACGTTTCTATTTTGGTTTATTAGCTCGGGCTGTACGCTCTCTCTCTCTCTCTCTCTCGCCCCAGCTCCACCCTCCCTGAGATCCAGAACATCCACACGTCTGCAGGCCACAGTCTCCGCTCTAGAAGACTATCCCCCCACCCCCCTCCTCCAACAACAACAAATTACATTTACACAATGCCTTTCAAGTTGGGAGGACATCCCAAGGCACTGGGCAGTCAAGGATTTGAACCCAGAGCCATTAATCTGAAGATCCTCATCCTCGACTTGTACCCACACTTAACTATCTCTGTTGCAAATGATTTAGCTTGTAGTTGTGAAAGTCCCTTGTGTGAAACTCCTCTTTGATTTCAGTTGAAAATTCACCCTGTTCAGGAATCATCATTGCTTGTGTGTAAGTCAACTAAGCTGCAGACTAACAGTGAATCCATCAATGACAGCGTGTGGTAACGAGTGTGTACTGTAACATGTACTGTAACTCGGGTGGTGTTTGTGGGACGTTGCTGTGTGCAATTGGCTGCCGTGTTTTGCCCACAAAATACACAGTCAATTGACTTTACAGTCAATTGAAGCGCTTTGAGATGCCGTGAAGACGTAATAAGGCACTATATCAAATGCAAGGATTATTATTTAGATGTGGCCATTGTTCCAGTGTCTGTGATAGAATGGATGTGTCACACCATTAGCCCAGGACTAATTCTCTGTTGGGGCGAGGTCTCGGAGGGGTGAGGAGTGCTCCTGCTGCTCTCAGCCACCCACATCACTGCTCACCCTTTGTACGCACAGGGTTGGGTTGTCAGCAGGTAAAACATGGTTTAATGAGGGAGGATATTTCTGAGCAAGGTCCAAGATTTATAGTGTCGCAAAGACCAGGTCCTTGGGAAATCTCAGAGCTTGCCATTTTCACACCAGTTTTATTGCTTTACCATTGAATTCAGAACCCGCCTGAGATCTGCTTCCCTGACAGTGTCTCTGACAAGTGGCACGTGCTGGGGTGTGAGGGGACTGATCCAGGCTCACACCTGACCTGTAGAAAGGCTCATGGGGAATGGGGGCACATTGGCGGGTGACTGATTCTGGGGGGATGTCACCACACTGGGGAAAGAGTAGGGGAGAAAATTGACCTGCACCCTCCCCCCCACCCCCCGCCTTTCCCCTCCTCCCTCGAAACAAAATCATAGCCCTCCCTGGTTTGGGTTTACAGTGTGAGCAATTTGGGTGTTTGCAGGTCACAGTGGCTGGGTGGTACCAGAGCTCTCTCGCTTGCTCTGTCATGGGGTGGAACCACTTGCTGTTGGTTTACGGTATAACTAGTTTGGCCTGAAATCTAAACTGTGTTTCTGGCTGAAGGAATTTGACTGTAGAGGAGAGCAAGAGATTCTCTCTAACGACCAGTTGGGTAATGAGCTGTGAAGCCAGAGAGAATCAGTGCTTTGCGTTTTTTGGGTTGGGGAGTTTCCAGCAGTAATTGGAGAATTATAATGTCCCTGTCACAATGCTGTGCAGTGGGTGCGTGCTGTTTGTTCTCCGCTGTTTAGGTTAGTGACGGGTATCGTCGAAGCCGCAACAAGCTGTAATTGTTGTTTTACAGAGACATAGCACATCTCTGTAGCTTTAGCCGGTTTGTAACTCGCAAGTGATATCGCTGCCATCTGTGCCTGGAACGGGTGAGTGGGGGGGTGGCAGGGGCGCAAGCTCACTCGCCCACCCTTGGGGCGCAGCAAGCATCAGCTAGCCCACCTGAGGAACTTAAGAATCGCAGAGAGCTTGTGCATATGGAGTCCTGTAGCGTAGTGGTTAGCGTGCTCGCCTCGCAAGCGAGATGACCTGAGTTTGATTGCTAGGTGAGGCAAAACCCTTGGCAAGTTTTGTTACTCCACACGCCTCTGTTTCCTTAGCAGTAAGTGTAAGTAGGAACCCACTTGTTAGTCGATCGGCAGATCGCTTTCCGAAAGTAGTAATCCCTCAAAGAAAAAGTTGGTCACTCAATCCACAACTGTTTGTGGGACGCTGCTGTGCACAATTGGCTGCCATGTTTCGCCCACAAAATATACAGTAATTCACTTTACACTCTATTCTGTGAAGCGCTTTGAGTCTCAACAATGTGGTAAAGTGTTACATCAAATGCAAGGTTTATAATAATAATTATTATTATATTTAACGCCTCGAGACACAGTGCTGACTATTGCCGGGTCAGTAGGCAGTTCATGGTGTCAGCAAATTTCCACACACACAAAAAAAACAGCTATGAAGTCAGTGTGAGAGCGATTTTATCTGGAGGATTGTTGGGTTGGCAGGGAGACGGGCACTCCTTTCTGCTTGTCATTAGTATCACAGGATCTGGAACGAGCACAGATGGAACCTTGAATTAGTCTCATCCAAAGGATGGCACCTTTGGCAAGGCAGCGTCCCTCCCCCCACACCAGCCCACCCCGCCTTGGCTCCAGTACATACAGTGGAATGTGAGATCGAGCCAGAACCTTCTGACTCAGAGGTGAGAGTGCTACCCACTGAGTCAAGGTGACACAATGGCTTTGATTTATTTTTATATTCAAAGGAACTGGCTTTGTAAAAGTTTTTAATGGGTGGGGGGGGGGGAAGAAGGATGTAGCTGTGATCTTAAGTGTGTCAGCCTGGCTCAGTGGTAGCACTCTCGCCTCTGAGCCGGAAGGTCATGGGTTCAAGCCCCCACATCAGGACTTGGAATGACATCTGAGTCTAAGCTGACGTTCCAATGCAGCGCAGGGGGAGCGTTGCACTGTGGAAGGTGCCGTCCTTCAGATGAGACGTTAAACCGAGGTCCCGTCTGCCTGCTCAAGTGGACATTAAAGATCTCCCACAGCGCTATTCAAAACGAAAAGGGAGTTCCTCTCTCCCGGGGTCCTGGTCAACAATCCCTAAATAAAATTGGTCACTCACTGCTTGGCTGTTTGTGGGTTCACTGCTGTGCGCAAACTGGTTGCTGGGTTTGTTGTTGTTGCCCCCCACCCCTCCTGTTGACATCTGATGAGCTGCCCTTTGATCTCCCGGTCACCGCCGGCTCCAAATCTGGATGTGAGATTGAAATGTTTTTACGGATCGTGTTATTTTAATATTAAAAAAATACAAACATCAATCTTTAGTTTTCTCCTGTTTCAGGTTCATCCCAAGACTTGCAAAACCATCACCCCACCCGTAGTCGAGCATCGCCTTCTGGGTAAGTCCCACCCGCGCGTTACAGTAACCTTACTGAGCTCACTGTCAGTCTGACCACTGGTGTGAGAGGGGAGCATTGGGGAACCAGAGGGAGGGAACGGGGAAAAGGGGTGTGAGCAGGTAAAGAGTGTCGCTCTATTACACTTCTCCCCAGTGAGGGAATGTTCTCGTCAATAGTCCCAGGTATTATTGCCCCGGGAAAGCGATCGCCAATCGACTAACAACAATGATAACGAGTTGTATTTATATAGCGCCTCTCACACCGGTTCCTGCTGACTGCTGAGTAAACAGAGGCCTGTGGATCAATTGAAATTTTCAAGATTGAGGTGGATAGATGTTTGTTAGGTAAGGGTACCAAGGAATATTGAGCAAAGACAGGTAAATGGAGTTGAGATACAGATACAATGCTGGAACAGGCTCGAGGGACTGCATAGCCTCCTCTTGTTCCTATATTTGTCCCAAAACAATGAATCGGATGGATCGCAGAATAATAATAATAATAATCCTTGCATTTGATACAGCACCTTATCACGTATTCGAGACGTCTCAAAGCGCTTCACAGAATATACTGTGAAGTGGATTGACTGCATTTTGTGGGCGAAATGTGCCCGGCACAGTGCACAGCGTGGCTGTGTAAGTTGCGATGTTAGCAGGCTTGTCAGTATGAAGCTGGTGTGTAATGTCACACAGTGCCGTTGGGTTTATCAGTGAGGTGGGGATTGGATCACATGGGGCGAGCGCGCATTCCCTGAACACCAGCTCTTAGACTCTGAAGTAAACTGATGTCGCAACAGCACAAGATGTTGCTTGGACGATTTCTACAGAGCAGTTGTGTAATGTGGAGCTCTCACTGTGCAAAGGTTGCTCACCATGAGCAGCTCCGTGTGCCCTCTTTTCCCCCCCTCCCCCCCAACACATTTTTCTCACTCAATTCACGACTGTTTGTGGGACACTGCTGTGTGCAATTGGCTGCCGCGTTTCGCCCACAAAATACAGTCACTACGCTTTACAGAATATCCTGTGAGGCGCTTTGAGATGTCCCAACGACATGATAAGGCGCTGTATCGAATGCAAGGATTATTATTATTATATTACATTTGAGGGGAGAGAGAGAGAGAGCGCGGGAAGCATAGAGGCATGAAAGCTCAGCCATAGGCAAGTGTTGGAACCAGAGAGAGTGAGGAAGGACTAGACTGGGCAGGAGACTGTGGAGGCAGACAGGTAGACAAACCGACAGAGAGATGAGATGTGGCTGTGGATGTCCTGAGTCCATTACAGTTGAAGTGCAGCATCCCTGTCTGTGAGCTCAGACAGCAGCCCAGTCCCAGTTCCAGCCTCAGCCCCCCCTCCTGCTTTATGTCACGTTATTTGTGGCCTCCAATCTATTAGGGCTTCAGACTTCCTCTTGCTTATCTCTCATTGTTAGTGAGGCCCTGTACAGAGAGAGGGGGGGAGGCAGCCTTTCATTAACATGAGCCTGTGTAAACCAGTCCATTAGTGACGCTACCTTACTCATTCTGCTGAAGATTGCTGACAATTTGACAGTCTGTCTCCCTCTCCCCTTTTCTCTTTCCTTTTTCTTCCTTCCTCTTTTTCTCTCTCTCGTTTTCTCTCCCTCTCTCCCCCTCTTTCTCTCTCTCCCTCTTTCTCTCTCTCGCCCTATTTTTTTCTCTCCCCTCTTTTTTCTTCTCTATGGCTCTCTCTCTCTTCCCCCATCCCCCTTCTCTGCCCCATCCCCCTCTCTCCTGCCTTTCTCTCTTTTCCCCCCACTATCTCTCTCTTCCCCCACCCCACTTCTTCCCCTACCCATTTCCACCTTGTGCTGTTGTATGAACTCATCTATTAATTGGTACCCGTACTGGCTGCATAGGAACTGTACAAAAGCTATTTGTTTATTTGTTCCCCTCCAACGATTCCCCCCCACCCCCCCACTCTCTTGGCTTGGCTCAGCTCAGTGAAATTGGAGGGGAGAGTGGCTGTTAACCTCTCACAGAGCACTGTGGTAGCTGCACGCTCTCTCGCTCCATCGCTCGCTCGCTCACTCACTGGCTGAGCCAGGCTGTGGTGCAGAGTCTGTTAGTGAGTGGTTCTCTCACTTGTTTCCAGGACGTGCTGTAACTCTTGTCTCAGCCGATAGTAACATAAACCACACTGATGCTGTGATTAGGAATGCAATTGGGGTTTGTCCGACCTGGGCCAGCTCTCCCCGTGGAGAGCTATCATTGTGTGACCTCCTACCTGACGTGAAAGGAGCAATGCAGATGTCATTTTGTTGGTGTTACTCTGCGACAGTCAGCACAGCCTGACTCGGGTATTTACTGTGCGCAATTGGCTGCCGCGTTTCACCCACAAAACACACACAGTCACAGTATATCCTGTGAAGTGCTTTGAGGCATCTGATCAACGTGATTATTGAGTGACCAAATAAAAAATTTAAAAAAAATTTCCGCAGGGATTATTACCCCCTGGAAAAGCCATCAGCCGATCGCCTAGCAAATTTGTATATTGTTATCGCTTGTCCCAGTGGGCCGGCATCTCACTAACTTGTTCCAGTCGATTAGACTGTGTGACACTTCCTGGTCTCTGACCTAAACTCGTCTTTCGCAGCCCTGTCCCTATGCCCAATTATCCCGTGGCTTTGGGGCGTCAGACAGCTATGTTGCTGGGAGGACACAGTGTTTTATTTCTTGAAGAAGTATTTGGCAGAGACACTTTGTTTACAGAGAGAAGCAACGGCTTAAATCATCAGCGTTCCCCTCGCAACACTTCTCGAATGCTCGGGCGTAACTCTCATCACTGCTGAGAATGCCGAGTGACCAATCATAGAATCTTACAGCACAGAAGGAGGCCACTCGGCCCATCGTGCCTGCGTTGGCTCTTTGAAAGAGTTACCAACTAGTCCCACTCGCTCCCCCGCTCTTACCCCAAAGCCTTGCACATTGTTCCTCTTCAAGTCCCTATCCAATTCCCTTTTGAAAGCTCCTATTGAATCTGCGTCCACCACCCTTTCAGGCACTGTTTTCTGGACAGTAACAACTGTCGGGGTAGAAAAATTCTCCTCGTCTCACCTCTGCTTCTTTTATCTTAATTATCTCATATCTGTGTACTCCGCGGTGCTGAATAGCTCTTGTTGTTTCAGTCAGTCAGTGCTGTCTGATGCTGACCGCGGTATAGAGGGGATTGGAGGTAGGTTCAGTGCAGCTCTGTGCACTCGCTCTGCGGGTGGTTTCTGTGGTTGATTATGAAACTATTACAGTACGGGTGTCTCTCCACGTCTCACCTTGCTGAGTGACACAGGCTCGGCATGCTGTGAGTGAGGGAGGGGGTGTTGTTTTGCTCCCCCCCCCCACGTGTTGCCATCCTGTTACAATGTACCTCCCGCGAATAGTGATGGAGCGAGTGATCCTGTGGGAAATGGATCATGCATTGCGCTTTAAGGAGGTTTTATTTCATTAGCCCCCTGATCCCCGGATATATCAGTGGGGTATTGGCCAGTGTCAATGATTTGCAGCTGTCTCCCCACCCCCACCTCCCGCCTCGCCTGTGTCATTGACCGTGGGGTCAGGCCCCAGAGTTAGAGTTAGTGTTTGGAGACGTGTCTGTGCATTCAACACTGGACACTTGTCTTGTGTTTCAGTTAGTTTTTCCAATAGGTGACTTATTTATATTTACATGTTTTTCTCAGTTTCCTACACGGGATAACAACCAGCAGTTTCCATTTCCCCTCTATCCCCAGGCCATGAGGGAGGGGGTGTAGAGTGAAAGGGGGGGAGGGGGTGTGGAGTGAAGGGGGTGTGGAGTGAACGGGGTGTGAAGGGGGAGCGGGTGTGGAGAGAGAGGGGGTTTGGATGGCGGGGGTGGGGGGATGGTGAGGGGTGAATGACGGTGGATGGTGGTGGGGGGTGGCTGGTAGAGAGGGGTGGATGGTGGGGGGATGTGGATGGCAGGGGTGGGAGTGGCTGGCCGGGGGGGGGGGGGGGGGGTGTCACTTAAAAGGAAAAAAAGGATGTTTATAACTCACTTTCCTGCTGTTTCTCTTTCCCCACCACCCGCACGCACAACAAATATCTGTCCAAGGTCCCCACATGTGGGGCACTGGGAGAGAGTGCAGGTCTATGGGCTATAGTAATAATAATAATAATCCTTGCATTTGATATAGCGCTTTTCACGTTGGGAGGACGTCCCAAAGCGCTTGGGTGGGACTCAACTGCAGTGTGTTGGAATAGGGGAGAGGGGGAGAGAGTGAGAGGCATCCACACAATCACAGAGAGTTAGTGTGACAGAGCGTGAAGGGGTTAGGAGCTGAGAGAGGGACACACTGCACTGTTCTCATATCCACAATGGACCTGGTTCCAATCAGTGTGGATATCGGGCTGTTCCCCGGTGCAGTGACAGTCCTGGGGCTGGGCTGATCAGTCACGATGAACACAGCTGAGAGTGAGTGAGTGTGTGTGTGTGTGTGAGAGAGAGAGCCTGTGTGTGTTTCTGAGAGCCTGTGTGTGTGTGAGCCTGTGTGTGTGTGTGTGCGAGCCTGTGTGTGTGTGTGCCTGTGTGTGTGCGAGCCTGTGTGAGTGTGTGCGAGCCTGTGTGAGTGTGTGCGAGCCTGTGTGAGTGTGTGCGAGCCTGTGTGTGTGTGTGCGAGCCTGTGTGTGTGTGTGCGAGCCTGTGTGTGTGTGTGAGAGCCTGTGTGTGTGTGTGAGAGCCTGTGTGTGTGTGTGCGAGCCTGTGTGTGTGTGTGCGAGCCTGTGTGTGTGTGTGCGAGCCTGTGTGTGTGTGTGCGAGCCTGTGTGTGTGTGTGCGAGCCTGTGTGTGTGTGCGCGAGCCTGTGTGTGTGTGCCTGTGTGTGTGCGAGCCTGTGTGAGTGTGTGCGAGCCTGTGTGAGTGTGTGCGAGCCTGTGTGTGTGTGTGCGAGCCTGTGTGTGTGTGTGCGAGCCTGTGTGTGTGTGTGTGCGAGCCTGTGTGTGTGTGTGTGCGAGCCTGTGTGTGTGTGCGAGCCTGTGTGTGTGTGCGAGCCTGTGTGTGTGTGCGAGCCTGTGTGTGTGTGCGAGCCTGTGTGTGTGTGCGAGCCTGTGTGTGTGTGCGAGCCTGTGTGTGTGTGCGAGCCTGTGTGTGTGTGCGAGCCTGTGTGTGTGTGCGAGCCTGTGTGTGTGAGAGTGTACACACGGTGTTGGTGACAGCTGTTGGGAGCATTGTTAGGCAGGACATGAGCCAGAGTCATCTACATCCTGTTCTGAATTTCCGTCTCCTCGCGATGATGTCACTGGAAACTAAAGTTGGTTTTACACGAGGATGAGTGTGAGTTGTATCTTTACACAGACTGGCTTTGGCCCAGGTCCCTCGGGCAGGATTCTCACTAACGCTTTCCCCAATTCTTTGTTCCTTCGACTGTTCCTTCGACGAGTCGTTTAATACCTGAATCTCGCAGTCATTCCTGGTAATTCTTTGGAATGAGTTCCTGCCGTCCCTCGCTAGCCTGGCTCTGTCCCTGCTTCGCTAGACACCCCTCTCTACCCCCCGCTAACGAGATGCATCCCCATCTCTCTGGACCCCCCTCCCCCTCCCCCATTGGTGCTCGCTCCACCATCGCAGGTACCGATGTTCGTTCTCCTGCCTGCGTAAATTTCTTGCTATAAAGTATTGTAATGGTGCCATATCACAAGGGATACCGTGTCGCATCATATAGCTTTCGAGAGAGAGAGGGAGAAGTTTATTTATTTTTGACTTTTTTTTCCCCTCTGAGCTTCTGTCTGTGAGGCTGTTTGAGGTTCTTTCTCTCTCTCTCTCTGTGTCTCTCTCTCTGTCTCTCTCTGACTCTCTGTGCCTGTAAATGGCAAGCACGGTGCTGCCCTGAGCAGCGTACTAGGATTGGACCAGCTCACACTGTACAGGACATCCTGCTCTCATCTCAGCATTACCTAAATCAATCTCGACTCCAGTAAAAAAAAGGCTTTTGAGAGCAGGATGAGATCAGCGGGAATAATTAGAGCCAAACTGATAATCCTCTTGTCTCACGCTGACCAATTTATCGGGCCTGTGTGTCTCTTTCTCCAGTGACATCTAGAGTCCCTGTGTGCGCGTGTGTGTGTATGTGTGTGTGGAGAGGCAAGCCGTGGCAGTCGCTCAGGCCTTATATTCTCGGCTGTCGGTGTGTTTGAGGTGGGGGCTGTCCTCTTTCCCCTCCCGCTCTGTGGAAAATCATCATTTATATTAAAGCATTCACATTCCTGTGCCTAGGCTGGACGGTCTCATAGGCTTAGGCTAGATTACATTTGACTGTGCCAGCGTGTGTGTGTGTCCCTCTCTCTGTCTGTGTATGTCTAACACCGTGTGTGTGTGTGTGTCTTTTTCTCCTTGTGACTGTTTAATCTTCTTTCTGAACCCTTTCCAAAAAATCACTCCCTTGTTATGTTTCTGTGATGAGTTGTGGGGTGTGGTGGGGTTAGATATCAGACAAAAGCAGGAGGTGTAAAGCTCTCTGGGAGGGGATTGTTTTCTTTGATTCTAGTTCCTCAAATAGTTCTTTTTATCTCTGAACTCTTCAAACCGTGTTCTCACACCATGTCTGATACAGGAGGGAGTACAGGGGATTAGTTGGGGTGGGGGCTCACGTACAGTGTAAACACGGACACAGATTTCTTCGCGCTCTCTCTAACCTGCAGTAAACTGTGATTTTACAACATACTGTAATAAACATTCCATTGGATACCGTGCAATCTGTGTGCACCTGAGCCAGGCAGCAGCGGGGTGGAGTCCTGCAGCTTAGTGGTTAGAGCGCTCGCCTCGCAAGCGACAGGACCCTGATTGCATGTCCCACAAATAGCCGTGGACCTAGCGACTAATTTTATATTTGGGGGATTGTTGGCCAGGACACACCCCCCCCCCCCCCCACCCACCCACTCCGCCCTCCCCCACCCCAGATAAAGCCTGCAGTGCCTTGGGACGTCCTCCTGACGTGAAAGGCGATCTATAAATGTAGTTTTGTTGGTTGTTGTTGTTGCACATGTACAGGTGGGGAGCGTATGATCAACAGCAGTCAGCTGTCATTGGCTGTGCCGTGCGTATAAATAGCATGGAAGCCGACTTACAGGAAGTACTGTTTTAGACACTTCCTTTTCAAATAAAGCGCCACTCGCACACTGCTCCGCTCCTCACAGCGGAAGCCGAACAGGAGCCAAACTATGGTAACATGTGCTTCCTGCACAGAGCTGCTCTCCAGAGATAACACCAGCAAAGGGATTCGGTCACACACATTTCAGCCCCCGCACGGACATCACTCATGAGAAACTTTCATTTGCTTGTCATGTTTATTGGTGGTTGCCATAGACACACTCTGATGCTTTGGGCATGTCCCCCCCCCCCCCCCCCATCCCACAATATCTATTGAACCAACAAAGAGGAAATCTGGAACTCTCTTGGTCCCCCAAAAGGCGGTGGATATTGGATTCATTGAAATTTTCAACACTGAGGTGGAGAGGTGTTTGTTGGGTTAGGCTATCAAGGGATATGCGGCAAAGGTGGGTAATTGGAGTTGAGGTTCTGATCAGCCATGATCTTACAGAATGGTGGAACAGGCTCCAGGGGGCTGAATGACCTTCACCTGTTCCTATGTTCATAAACAAAAAATTGCGTCAGAGTCCGTCATGTCTGCATTGCCAACACTGTTTCACCACCTTTTCACATGGGAGGGTGCTGCTCAAATTGCCGGCATCGGTTGTCAACAAAACACACAGTCACTGCAGGTCCGCTTTGTGTTGCTGATGGCCTGTGGAGGGAGGTTGCCTCCTGCAGCTTCAGGGCTTCAGTGATGGAGGGTGGGGACGGGCTCGGAGATTATTAGTCACTAATGTAACCTTGGTTAGTGAACGGGAACTCACATCCGCTGTCGAATCTACAAATCAACGTTGTTGTGGCTACAAGAACCTCATCGAATTCTAATTAACCTTCAGTGGCTCGGCACCTCGTTGACAAACGTCCAGCAACATGAAACCAGCAGCCAGTGTAACCAGCACTGAGCTGGGGCATTGTGCAAGTGTCCGCAAAGTCCGCTTACAAAACAGTGATATGAGACGACAGAGGAGCTGAAACAGAGATGCATTTGGCCTCGCCATTCCATCCATGTTACAGACGATGTAGCACCGAACATGGCGACGGATCATTACCTACCGTTAGCTCACACACTCACCCTCACCCATACACACACACTCACCCTCACCCTCCCAAGCACACTGACTCACTCACGGACACTCACACACACACTCGCCCACACTCACACATACTCGCAGACACTCACCCACACACACACTCACACAGACACACACTCACATACACACCAATCCTCTGGACGTTGTCTAAAGACAGTTAAACACTTGTACTGAATGCATCCACTTTACAGTGTATCCTGTGAAGCGCTTTGAGACGTCTCAACGATGTGATAAGGCGCTGCATCAAATGCAAGGATTATTATTATATAACGAGGGGCTGAGTGCGGCAGAGGGATAGAGACAGCGAGTTTCTGCGGATCTGGACTCAGTAACTGATGGTAGCTGTGAAGTGGACCCAGTGATAATTTATCCCGTTGTAAAACCGTGGAGATTCTCAGCAGAAAGTTGGAAGAAATGTCATTTCCTTATTTGCAGCTGGTTGTGAATAGTTTGGTGCTGAGATAGATGTTGCCTCGCGTCTGTCTCTGAGCTGGGGGTGGGGGGTGGGTGGAGGTTGAACTGCTCTGATTACTGTGTAGGAGAGAGAGCAGCCTTGCACAACAGTTTGAGTTGGATGCTACGTCCCTGTGGCCTGTGTTTCTGGGCTGTGTTTGTGTTGGAGAACATTCTTGTTTTCGACCCTTGAAATTCTATAGAAAAACCTAAACGTCAGCCTTTAAGTCGCTGGCAGTGCAGAGTTCCTGGGTTCGGAGCCTGACTGGCTTCTGTTTGTGGCTTTAATAGGGAAAAGGAAACCCTCGCCAAAAACAATGTTTAAAAATATATATATCAGCGTTTGGGTGAAAATAAAACCTACAAGACCAACCCCCCCCCCATCTTGCTAAAGGCTGTTTTATACTGTATAACCCTCCGGCCTCAGCGTGTCACAGACTGACTGACTGGCCACATGTGGTCCACAACAATGACACCAAGCTTAATATCACTAAACACTTTTGGTCTGTGGCAGTCCAAATCTTTGCAATAGCTCCCTCTCTCTTTAATTCTTTACTTTCTCCCCCTCTCTCCCTCCCCCCTGCTCTTTAACCTTGTCCCCTCCTGCCTGCAGTAATGTATGTCTCTCTCTGATCTCCATTTTGCCCACAAAATATACAGTCACTCCACTTTACACTATATCCTGTGAAGTGCTTTGAGACATCTCGAAGATGTGATAAGGCGCTGTATCAAATGCCATTATTATTGTTGTTATTCTGTTTCACACTCAGGCGCGGGGAAATCTCTGAAATCTCTTATTCAGCTGAACATCAATAAGGTCACATTTGCTAATTTTCTTTCTCCTTCCCTTGCAGTTCCCTGTGTCATGAAACTTGAACCAAACCAAGCTCCATTGTGCGTAAGTAGCGCTGAACATTCTGTCAGAATCGCAGGAAGAGGAGTGTTGGTTGAGCTCTGCGTAAAGCTCCTGTACACAACGTTCATAAACCAGTCCGGGGTATCTCATTAAGGATATATTTCTTGGTGTCTGTCCTGAAATTAAGGGTGTAGGACGCTAAGCTGCGTGGGGTGGGGAGGGGGGGGTGGCTGTATAAGTTGCTGTTGAAATTGATATTGATGTGTGATGATTCAGTGCAGCTATTGGAGTGTGCGGTGTCCAGCTCAGAAGCCCAATGTTAGCGGAGAGAGACGGGGGGAGGGGCTGCGGTGAGCGGTCTCTGGCTAACCAGGAGAAAATCAGCCTGGGGTGGGGGCAAACACAAAGGGAGGGGTGGGGGTTATTTCCAGCGAGTGGTTGACCGGCCACGTGTCGAGACTCGTCAGTAAGCGACGTGGGTCAGTCACTGTTTCCTCCTTGATGTATCTCGGCGCTGAAGTGGTTCAGTATCTGATCGGCTATTCTATTGCCCACGTCAACCATCATCGCAATGTGTTAAACACAGCGACAAGTCACCGCTGCTGTTGGGGCTGTTTATAGCTCGCGGCCGGCCGTTGGTGTGATTTTGAAATCCTTCCATTATTTATAACCAGAGGAACTGCACAGCTCCTCAGACTCTACCCCTCTTCCCCTTTTCTACTTCTTTACCTCACCCCCCACCCACCCCCCTCCACCACACACACTCACACATGCACGCACAGGCACACGCACAAGTACATACACGCACGCGCTCGCGCATACGCACATACATGTATAAACCCTCAGCCATGATTCCCGGTGTTGTTGTGAATTGAATTCCTGACGCTGGAATTTTCAGACCACAAACCAGCTGTTCACTGGGAGCGACTGAACCAAACCTCACCCGCTGGCACACCGGGCTTGGTGTGGGTCAGGGATGGGGTGGGGGCTGGTTTAGCAGGGATGATGGCTTGGTGGGGGAGGGGGGCTACCAATTGAGCCAAGCTCGCGGCAAAACACAAGTTATCGGCCGTCACGTGGGGCTCCTGACTCGTTGCTCACGGGGTTTATCGCTGACAGGCGTGTGCATTACACACGTGTTCTCTGCCCCGTGGTATCTCAGCGTGTTGGCAGCGGTCGCCTGTTTGACACTGGCTGTGGAGAGCGCGCGCTGTTTGTTTAGCTGGCAGGGCCCTCCCGAGCAGCGTTTCCTGAGGAGAGCTTTATCGGCCTGTTTAATGGATGGTGTAATTGTTCCCAAATGCCTGACACAGTTGCTATTATGGAATATTAATGCAATAAACTGTGTCCGGCCATCCGCTCCCCTCCCAAAGCTGTGAGCCCTTTGTGTGCGCTGAGTGATGCTCTCTCTCGCTCTCTCTATCGCTTTCTCTCTCTCTGCAGCGCTGGCTATAGGGATATTGTGGTGTGGAGGATGTGGTTTGGAAACTGCAGATCCTAAATTCATCTCTTCCTCCTCCCCCTTAGCCCCGCACCCCTCCTCCCCCACCACCACGACCCACTGTCTAGGTGCTCTGAGATGTTACCCCGCGTGGAGGGTGCCATACAAGTGCAAGTTGTTGTTGTTGTTGTGCGGAAACCCTTTGCAGATTAAGCAATGATCCGTTTGCTGGGTATGTCATCTGTCAGTGGTAACGTTTCAGTGTGGAGAGTACAGCTTCAGAGAGCACGAGTGAGAGAGTGCGTGTGTGTGGGGGGGGGGTGGTGGTGTTGCAGACGCCTCTGCTTCCAGCTCTCCCCCCCCCCTCCCCATCCCTTATCTTTTCCCCCTCCCCACCCCGTCTTTGGGGTAAGAGGGAGCAAGGAGAGTATTTCAGTTTGGTGGTTTGGCTGCACAGTAACAGTGTGTGGCTGAGTTCACTGCTCGGTTGGGTTACCAGCCGGACTCCAGGGATGATCCGGGCAAAGACACACAGACACAGCATTGAAACTCGGCCAAAGTATGACTCATCCGGGCCAAACCCTTGTCCCTGAAGCAAAGGTTCAGTTTGGGGTGGAAATGACACCAGGGCCCTGGAGTGAGTGTGTATCGTAACGTCTGTGATTCCCTGTTCATAACGACAGATCGACCCACATGATTTTTTAATTGAAAGGGAGAATGTGTTAATGAACAAAAGAAGTTAGGTTTACATAAGAACATAAGAATTAGGGCAGGAATAGGCCATTCGGCCCCTCGAGCCTGTGTCCCGCCATTCGATAAGATCGTGGCTGATCTTCTGACCTAACTCTAATTACCTGCCCTATCCCCATATGCCCTAATGCCTCAGTGTTTTAAAAATCTATCAGTCTCAGCCTTGAAAATGCTCGGCCTATCCTCATAGGTCAGTCCCCTCATCCCAGGAACTAACCGAGTGAATCTACGCTGCACCCCCTCGAGGACAAGTATGTCCTTTTTTAAATAAGGAAACCAACACTGCACACAATACTCTCGGTGCGGTCTCACCAAGGCCTTGTACAGTTGCAGCGAGACTTCCCTACTCTTGTACTCTAAACCTTTTGCAATGAACGCTAACATGCCGTTCGCCTTCTCAGTTGCTGTTGCACCTGCAAACTAACTTTTTGAGACTGGTGAACACGGACACCCAAATCCCTCTGCACACTAACTGTGGAATCCTATAGCTCAGTGGTTAGAGCACTCGCTTTGCAAGCGAGACACCTGGGTTGAATTCCAGGCAGAGGGCGAAACCTTGGGCAAGTTTCCTCACTCCATACAGCCTAATAATAATCCTCCAAAACCAAAAACAATAATAAATTGGTCATTTTCAATCCACGACTGTTTGTGGGACATTGCTGTGCGCAATTTGCTGCCGCGTTCGCCCACAAATATACAGTCAATTCATCTTACAGTGTGTTCTGTGAAGCGCTTTGGGATGTCCTCCCGACGTCAAATGTAATGTAACCCTTTAATCGGGTTCCCGTGCTGCTTCGAACCCCTTCAGTCGGGTTTCCGTGCTGCCCATAGCACAGAAACTGCCCTGGCCAAGGTCACCAATGACATCCTGACCACCTGCGACCAAGGCTCCCTCTGCCTCCTCGTCCTCCTCGACCTATCGTCAGCATTCGATACGGTCGACCACACTATCCTCCTCCACCGCTTGTCCTCCCACCTCAACCTTCAAGGCCCTGTCCTTGAGTGGTTTAGGTCGTACCTCTCCCACCGTCTTCACTTTGTCTCCACAAATGGTTTTTCCTCCGGTCCCCACATTGTCTCGTGCGGTGTCCCTCAAGGCTCTGTCCTCGGTCCCCTCCTCTTCACCCTCTATATGCTCCCCCTGTGGTGACATCATCCGCAGACATGGGGTTAACTTCCACATGTATGCGGATGACACCCAACTCTACCTTTCCTCCTCTACCCTCAACTCCACGACCCCCGATGTCCTGACAGCTGCCTGTCCGACATCGAGTCCTGGACGAGAGATAACTTTCTTCAGCTCAACGTGCGAAAAACCGAGGCCCTCCTGATTGGCTCACGTCAGCGCCTCCGCACCTCAGGCGCTGACAGCATCAGCATCCAAGGCTGCACTCTCCACCTCTCAAAGGCAGTCAGGAACCTCGGCGTTTTGTTCGACCCTGAGCTGTCCTTTCTCCCTCATATCCGCACCACAACTGGCACCGCCTTCCATCACCTCCGGAACATCGCCAGACTACGGCACTACCTCACCCCTCACGCTGCTGAAACTCTGGTCCACACCTTTGTCACCTCAAGGCTGGACTATGGGAACTCTCTCCTCGCCGGCCTTCCCGGCCCTCCCTCCACACTGCAGGTCATTCAGAACTCTGCAGCTCGTGTACTGTCCCGCACCAGGCTTCGGACCACATCACTCCCACCCTCGCTCGCCTCCACTGGCTCCCCATCCCCCAGAGGATCAAATTCAAGATCCTCACCCTCACCTACAAGGCCATTCACGGCTTCGCTCCCTCCTACCTTTCTGACCTACTATCCCCCTACCTACCTGCCCGTACCCTCCATTCCTCTGGCTCTGGTCTGCTCCACATCCCCCGCCCCAACCGCCCTACCATCGGTGGCCGTGCCTTCAGCCTCTCAGCCCCGAGGCTCTGGAACTCTATCCCCAGTGCCTTCGCATTGCCTCCTCCCTTTCCTCCTTCAAGGCCGGTCTCAAGACCTTTCTCTTTGACCGTGCCTTCAGCTCCCCTCTCGACTCTCTACCCCCTCCTCGCTCCCTCCCTTCCCTCCCCTCACCCTGACCATTTCCCCCCAATGCTCGGGTCCTGACCCAACTGTACAGCGCCTTGGGACGTCCTCCCGACGTGAAAGGCGCTCAATAAATGGAATCTTGTTGTTGTTGTTGTTGTTGTAAGGATTATTATTATTATTCCTCTAACACTAATCTCTCCCCCTCTAGAAAATAATCTGTTTTTCTATTTTTTCCTACCTAGGTGAATAACTTCACATTTCCCCACATTAAATTCCATCTGCCACCTCCTCGCCCACTCCCCTCGCCTATCTATATCCCGCTGCAATCTTTTTGCGTCACCCTCAGAGCTCACTCTCCCACCGAGTTCAGTGTCATCCGCGAATTTAGAAACGTTAAATTCAATGTCCTCGTCGAGATCATTGATGTAAATTGTAAATAGCTGAGGCCCAAGCACTTTCTCTCGCAACCACTTGAAGTGTTTGTGCTGTTCAGGGTTTGGTGGGTAATGCACGGATCGCTTTTCCAGGAGTAACAATTCCTCCAAAAACATGAAAGTAATTTTGGTCGCTCAATCCACGACTGTTTGTGGGGACACCGCTGTGCGCTATTGGCTGCCGCGTTTCACCCACAAAATACACAGTTAATTCACTTTTCAGCCCCCGGGGGAGGGGGTCTGGCGGGGATGTGTGTGTGGGGGGGATGCGAAGTGCAGGGGCTGGCGGTGGGGGAGGGGGGGCTGAATCTCTGACGAGCTGTGTGGCTGACTCTCGCCCCCCCACCCCTCCGCTCTCTCCGCAGGGGGAGTCGGTGCTGACTGTGCTCCTGGACGAGGGACCTGAGATTGAAGATGGCTTAGCCCTGTACCTGGTTTTCTTTGGCTCTGGTCAGCAGCACGTGACCAGCACACACAGGGCAGCCCCCAGCACACTGCACACTGTGGCCCCCGGTAAGTCACAGCGGTCTGTACATAGCCCACATCTGTTTACACGCACAGCAAAGCCATCTGGCCTCCTATATAGGTACTTATGTGATGCCAACATACATCCCTTTCTCTCTTTCGCTCTCCATCTCTTTCTTTCCCTTTCTTTCTTTCTCTCTCTCTATCTCTCACTTGCTTGCTCCTTCTCTCAATCTCTCTCTCCCCTGACAGCTGGCATGTGTGGTGATGATTGAGGGTAAGTTTGACTATGATTTATGTCAGATCACAACACATCCATTTCACAGCCAGTTCCCTTGTGATGTACAGGTTGTGTGTGCATTTGTTACCAACCTAAGGAACCCCCACTCCCTCTCTCTTTATAATAATCCTTGCATTTGATACAGAGCCTTATCACGTCGTCAAAACTTCTCAAAGCGCTTCACGTACCTTTGTTTGCTAATAAATCCGGTTGTTATTCAATTGGTGGATTTCTGGGGATAATAATCCCTCCAAAAAATGGAGATCACTCAATCCACGACTGTTTGTGGGACGCTGCCGTGCACAATTGGCTGCCGTGTTTCACCCACAAAATACAGAATCAATTCACTTTACAGTATATTCTGTGAAATGCTTTGAGACGTCTCAACAACGTGATAAGGCGCTGTATCAAATGATAGGATTATTATTTCTATTATTGCTATTATTATTACACTGTTCATTAAACAGAAGTGAAACAAGCATAAAGCGTTTCCTAGGCAGAGGATGTTCCCACCTCCTGCGCTGTGTGTGTGAGTGACTATCTGTACGTTTTCCTTCCTCTTTGCAGCTCACAACTGCTGTGAAACGGTGCGAGTGGGACTGTATGCCTGCGGGGCGGGGGATGCGGTCCAGGTGCTGGCCGAAGAGAGCTTCCAGTACGTTCCGGACATGGCTCGCACCATCCCGTTGTTCCTGGGGGCCAGCGCCGGCTCCGAGGAGGCCCCGGGGGGCCCTGGGTTCCTGGGAGACTTCTCTGTCCCGGTCGAGGATCTGGATAAAGACCTGAGGTTGGCGGTGAAACATCTGGCCCTGTCCTCGCTGGGGGGCGTTCCAGCCCCGGGAGAGCTCCCCCCAGGTAGGGATGGCAGGGAGTGGGGGAGTGGGGGGAATCCCTGGAATTGGAGGGGCTCTGAGTGTGGTCTACACCTGCTGCTGCCACGCTCTCTACTCCCCATCACAACTACTGCAGAACGCAGTGCGTTGGATATCGATCTTGCGCGAGAACGCAAGCTGATTTGTCTCCCCACCTGCTTCTCTTCCTCCTCCCGCCCCCACCCCCCCACCACCCTCACTGCCTGGGCAACAGGTGTGTGGGAAGTGAATGTTTTATGTTCTGTCACCTTGAACTTTGAGGATGTCCTTGAGGTGGGTTGGGGTTGAGACTGGCGGTTGGGGTTAGGATTGGAGTTGGGGGCTGGGTGGGGGAGGTTGGACCTGGGCTGGGCTGAGGGTCGGGTTAATTTTCTCCGGAGTTGCTGGGTTACGGAGGCTGGTACCTGACTCCCCGCTGAGGAAGGTTAATGGTTACAGTTAGTGCCTTGTTGACCCCTCGATCGCACAGCGCTACCTTTGTCTCCAGCTCAGGACAACCACTCCATGTCTAGTTACTGTTAGGATATCACTGTCGTGACTCTGGCTAACCAGAGCTGACTCCAGGAGGTTTCTCTTGTTTGGGAAGTTATGACTCAATAAGCTCTCGCAGGGGAGGAGTAATGTGAGGAGGGTCTTTTTATCCCTCTGTTCACCAAAGTGTGCCTCTCCTCCCCTCTCCTTTCTCTCTCCTCCCCTCCTCTCTCTCCTCTCCCCTCTCCTCCCCCTCTCTCCTCTGCTCAGCGCTTTAGTGACGGGGCTCCAGAGAGATGGTAGAGTCACCGTGGCTCACGTCCTGTGGTGAAACTCTGCTCACAGGAGCCAGGGCGGGTTTGTGGTTTGCGTGACTTCTGTATAAATGGTTTAACCCACCTGTGCAGTCTGGACACCGCTGTTTCCCATCGCTCCCCACCTCACAGATTACCAGAAGTTTAATCTGATTAAGGTTTTTGCCCGAACTTCTCACTCCCCCTCTGCCACCCACCCCTCCCGCATCCTCCTCTCCCCGCTGTCCCCCTACAGTCACCTTCCCTCTTCCCCCAGACTCGGCTTCATGCTCTGTCACTGTCAAGCACTCTGGGGCGCTACCCTGCCTGAGCATGTGCCTGAGGGGTGGGTGTGTGTGTGTGATGGAGCCTGACACGTATGTGTCTGTGTGTGTGTGTGTGAGAGAGAGCGATGGAGCCTGACATGCGTGTGTGATGGACACTGACGTGTGTGTATTTACAGGTTCGGTCCCAGTGGAGACACTGATGACCTTGGCAGCGAGGCTGGGCTGGCCTGGGCTGAGTCTCCCCTCCTTCTTGCTGCGACCGCCGGACCCTCCCACTGACCCTCACATCCAGGGGCTGCTGGAGCTGCTCAGAAGGTAAGTCTCCCCGCGCCCCCCCACCACCAACCCCACAAGCTGTGATCCTGTATAAATGTGTAACCAATGGTGGAGCGGAGGTAGTGGGTTGGAGTGTAAGGAGGTCGGGGAGAGAGGGGCAGGGAGGTACCAGGGCATGAAATCCCTCGTGACTTTCTTTCTCAAACCTTTCGGATCACTCAGTTCACTGTGGCGAGGAGAGTGAGCCGGGTGACGAGACACAGAGTATGTGCGTGTGTGTGTGTGTGTGTGTGTGTACGCACGCGCAGGTGGCCACATGATGTGTGCCCAGGTATCTAATTACAGGTGTGCAGGAAGCAGCCTCGCACAACAGGTGCAATGGAAAGTGCCAGCGCGGAGACTGTGGCCTCTTAAGCTCCACCGCAAGGAATCTTTCCCACCTGGGAAAAGCACACACACACTGCACCGGGATAAATAACCGGCTCTTTTATTTGTTTGTGACGTCAGAACCATCGCCGTGTTTCCGTGTTTGTGGGACGCTGCTGTGCGCAATTGGCTTGCACACTTCCCCCAGAAAATACACAGTCGCTGTGCTTTAATTAGCGTACATCCTGCAAAGCGCTTTGAGACGTGTCGACGACATAGCGCCTGAGGTGACTGAGTGTGGGGGGGAGGGGGAGGGGGCTACTTACCGGTCTCCACTAAGACAACAACTTACATTTACACAGCGAATTTCACTTCACCCTCTGCTGATCTGATCGCGGGCTGTGCCTGGGATATTCCCCCGGGGCTGTGTGTGTGTAGGGCTCACCTGCTCTGTGCTCAGCACCTACCCCCCCCCCCCCCCACACCACCACCAGCACCATCTCGACTACACAAGACTGTCAGAGGCCTCCGGAGGTGCCCGCTGTGTGCCAGGCTGGACTGTGCCGCTCTCCGATGCTCCACAAACCCCTGATGCTGTGCTGGGTGGTGGAGGCCGTGTGCTACTGGTCTCATCGCTGCTGCTTGTGTCTCCCCAGGGTGCTGCCGGCCACAGACCAGCCGAGTGACGACACCCCCATCGTGTCCTCGGCCGAGGGCTGTGTTAGGTTCCACCGTCGCTCCAACATCTACTCCTACACCGTCAACAGCCCCCGAGGAGCTGAGCCCAGCCATGTGCAACACAACATCACTGAGCTCCAGCGGCACATCCAGTCCCACAGGCAGCAGGTGGTGAGTGTTCCTGGCTCCCCTCTCGCTCTCGCTCTCCCTCTCGCTTCTCTTTGTGCTTCTGTTCCAAAATGGAGCCTGTCGTTTGTTGGGGAAGTGTGTTTGGAGTGCAGTACTAGCAGCAGGACTTGCTACGGCCTTTGATGTGTGTGTGTGTGTGTGTGTCTGGGGGTGGTGTGCGGGTGGTGTGTGTGTGTGCGGGTGGTGTGTGTGTGCGGGTGGTGTGTGTGTAGAGTGGGGGATGTGTGTGTAGGAGGAGGGTGTCTGTGCCGTGTTTGTGAAGAGCCTGGTGTTCCCGGTCGCTCTGACCCGGTATCTGCCCATCGCGAACAGTTACCAGGGAACCGAGTCTGTGCCTGTGGATGTCTGAGGCTGTTATCTGGTCTATTTCTCAGCTCGGGGTCTGGGCTGATGGGCACAAGCTGTGGTGATTGCAGCCCCTGTGCTGTGCTGGTGATCAGCTGTGATCACCGTTAGCCTGGGTTGTGTTGATGGTTTGGGGTGGATCAGATCCCCTTCTGTTTTCAGCACAATTTCTCTTTTGACAAGGTCACGAGGGTCAGTGACCGATTACAGGTCCCGCTCGTGTCTCTGCGCTGGGAGAGACGGTGTCTGAACCGGATGCGCTTTTGTGGAGTCTTGCAGCTCAGTGGTTAGAGCCCTCGCCTCGCAAGCGAGAGGACCCGGGTTCGATTCCCGTGCGAGTCAGGGTGAAACCTTAGGCAAGTTTCCTTACTCCACACACACGCCTCTGTTTATCGAGCAGCAGTAGGAACCGGGTTGTTCGTGGATTGTCGGATCACTTTCCGGGGGTAATAATCCCTTCAAATAAAAAAAGTTGGTCACTCAATCCACGACTGTTTGTGGGACGCTGCTGCGCGCAATTGGCTGCTGCGTTTCATCCACAAAATATTCAGTCAATCCACTTTACTGTGTATCCTGTGAAGCGCTTTGAGACGTCTCTAAGACGTGATCAGGCGCTGTATCAAGTGCAGGGATTATTATTATTAATATATTCCTTTTCCTCTTTCCCTTTTTTGGAAACAGGAAGCACGTTTGGCCAGTGAATCCTCTCCTCAATCGCAGCCCACGGACACGAAGACAGAGATGGGGCACGGAGCAAGTGGGAGTGAGGCGAAGGAGGGTCTCACAGAGACCGTAAACGTCAACGAAAATAATCCTCAGGAGATCGCCGTGGAGGGGTCCGAGGATCTGCCGAGCACGAAGCCTTCGGAGGGGGAAGGGGCGGGTGGTGGGGAAGCCCCGGTTGTGGAGCCGGGCTGCGGGAGGACAAGGAAGAGCCCACTTTACCAGCGGAGTCCGGGAGCACAGCTGACACCAGCGCCTGTCCACATGTGCAGGAGGCGGGCGATGTCACTGAGCTCAGCCCGGCCCGCGGGAGGGAACAGGGCACTTTGTGTCTGGACATCGGCCGCTGCGAGGAGTCTGTGCCTGAACCAGATGTGGCTGAGACCGAGGGGACGGGCTCCGCCGTGAGCGTCAGCGAAGGAGCCGGCGGTGAGGCTGAGCGCCACGCGGGCACGGATCGAGCCGAGGCTCCGGGAGAACAGGGGAGGGAGACCGAGGACAGCCGGGAACACGCGGGGCCAGGGGCAGGGGATGAGCAGGAGTCGGCTGCCCAGTGTGGAGTCACTGCGGAGGAGGGTGAGGGTGGAGCCGAGCCCGAGAGCGATGGTGTTTCGGTCGAGTCGAGCGGAGAAACGGCGATGGTGGTGAACACGGAGCCGGAGCTGCCGGTGACTGAGGTGGGGGTCGGAGCCGGTGTCTGCCCACCTGCCCCGGGCTGTGCGTCTGCTGAGTCGGGCTGTGACGTCCTGGTGGTGGTGGTGGCGAGCGAGGGTGAGGTGGGGTTAGGCTCGGAGCCGGAGAGGGATGTGGCGGAGACGTCACATGATGACCAGCTCAACACCAGCTCCGAGACCGCGGAGGAGGTTCCGGGCTGCTCCTCCACCGACCGGCAATGTAATGCCGGGAGCGAGGAGAGCGCCGGCGAGGAGAGGGAGCTCAGGGGCAGCGGTGAGCAGACGGGGAGCGTGGGAGCAGAGCTGAACTGCCTGGCCACTGGGCCCAGCATGGAGACGATGGAGACGGAGACGGTGACGGTGAAAGCTCCCGGGGAGGGTGACGAATGGTCCCAGGAGGTTGACGAGGCTTTAGAGAGAGAATCTTCCTCCTCGTGTGAGGAGTGCAACGAGGATGTGTTCTCGGGGGAATTCCTGCCCTGGGAGGAGGTGAGGAGCAGCCCGGTTGCCGATGGCGAAGAAGATGGAGAGGAAGAGGACGGCCGATCAGTACGTGTGGTGGAAGCCGGTGATCGTGGGGATCGGGTGGAGCTGGGGATCCCGGCCAGGCCTGGGGACACCGCAGCCGATCCCCCAAACCAGGAGGTGGCGCTCAGCGTTGAGGAGGAGCTGCCTGTGCACGGAGACAGCGGGGGGCTCCAGGCCGCTGCCGTCAGGGAGGGTGGTCCCGGTCAGGCTGGTCCCCACGGCACAGAGTGCAGCCTCCTCCCTTCCTCCCCAGAGACCAGCGCGGATGAGAGAGGGTCCGATGAGGAGTTTGACGCTCTGCCGCTCGCCAACGGGGGTCTGGACACGGCGGATTTGACAGGTGAGTGACACCGGCTGCTCTTCAACCACTCATGCGGTCAACCCCCTAGCCCCTCCCCCCTCTACCCCTGCTCTCCACCCCTCCTGATCCCAACCCCCAGCTCGGGTCCAAATCCCTGACTGTCCAGCGCCTTGGATGTCAATTCACTTTACAGTGTATCCTGTGAAGCGCTTTGAGACGTCTCGAAGACGTGATCAGGCGCTGTGTCAAATGCAAGGATTATTATTATTATTGTACCTTTCACATCTCGTTAACGTTAATGTTAACATCCCGGCCAACAATTCCCCCAAAGTAAAAATTTGTCACTGGCTTTCTGGGACAATGCCGTGTGCAAACAGTCACTCCATTTCACAGTAAATCCTGTGAAGCGCTTTGAGACGTTGTAAGGCACTGGACTAAGTGCCGCCCGGCTCCTGGTGTGTGTTTGCCGGACAGGCCTTGGCTGGAGCCGGTGGGAATTCAGAGTTGATCAATAAACAAGTTGAGCGACACAGTGGCCGCTGCCGTGCAGTGCTTGTTTTTGTTTAAGGTCGGGACCTTCTCGTTACACAAACACAGGACGGGCGCAGATCCGCACTGAGCTTCCACAGCCCTGAGAAGGGAAATGGCGAGGAGCGAGGGCTTTGGTGTGTTTCCGTGGTTGCCCCCCCCCCCCCCCGACCCCGCCCGCCTCCCAACCCCCCACCCCCGCTGGGCGCGCTGTGCCAGCTGGCCTGGCTGGTGCCGGCCGGCGAGGGGCTGGGGACTTGCCGATTGCCCACAAAGGCCGTCTGCGGTGCAGATGTTCCACAAGCAGCTGGAGGACGCAACAGCACTCCAGAGGACAGGAATCTGGGCTGGATTTTGTGGCCAGATGTGCGCAGGGGGGTGGGAGGGGGGGGCTGCTGTGAAACACTCTCACTGTCGGGTTTGTGTTTGGGCCAAATGCCCTGGTGACCTGCCCCGGGGTGCGAGGTGAGGGTCAGGGATGAGGACAGGTGTGAGGTTGGCACTGGTGGTGGTGGTGTGGAGCGCCTCAGCCATCAGCTGCCGTGAGATTCACAGCTGACAATGGAGCAGCGACTCGGTGCGGTGCCGCCCCGTGGCCGGGGCGGGTAGTGCAGGCTGCGGCTCGCTCACTGGCCCGTGACGGAGCTCAGTCGTGGACCTCTCGTTTCCTTCCCTACAGACGAGGAGAGAGACAGCGGTGGAAACCGGGATAAGGGGAGAGACTGCGTTGGGAATCGAGACAAGGGCCGGAGCGAGCTCGGACCCCAGTCCGTGGTGAGTGTCTCTTCGCCTGTCCGGTATTTCAGCGTGTCTGTCGTGTTGTCATGTGGGTGGGGGTTGGGGGGTGGGGGGCGCGATTGAACTTCATGCCGTGTCCCAGCTCCCCACATCAGATGCAAGCGAGAGACCTGTGCTTGATTCACGGCAGGGGGTGAAACCTTGGGAAAGTTTCCTTACTCCACACTCCTGATAATGATCCCTCAAGAAAAAAAACAATAATAAATTGGTCGCTTCAATCCACGACTGTTTGTGGGACACTCACTGCTGTGCGCAATTGGCTGCCGCGTTTCGCCCACAAATATATACGGTCAGTTCACTTTACAGTGTATTCTGTGAAGCGCTTTGAGACGTCTCGAAGACGTGAAAAGCGCTATATCAAATGCAAGTGTTATTACTATCAGATCATTGAGCAGGAGTGATAATGTGCAGAAATACTTCACACAGTGCTGTTCTCCCTGTACCTCGTCTGCCTGTATATCATCTTAATTGGATTACAATGCGGTCAGTTCCTGTGATGAACAGCAGAGGCAGAGCTGGTGCTGTTAGGGTGAGATGTGATCTCCTCTGGGCTCGGTTATTACGTGTTACAGAAATAATAATAACAATAATCTTTGCTTTTGATATCGCGCCGCATCACGTCATTGAGACCTCTCAAAGCGCTTCACGGAATACACTGTATAGTGGATTGACTGTATGTTTTGTGGGTGAAACACAGCAGCGTCCCCACAAACATTCGTGGACTGAGGGATAAAATTATTATTATTTGGTGGGATTGTTTTTGCTGTCTCATCAACGTGATAAGGCACGATCTCAAATGCAAGGATTATTATTATGATTATTATTATTATAATACGTCACTCTGCCCTGTGTGACCCTGAGATGTGGTTGGGCAGGTTACATAGGTCTGAGTGGCTTTGGGCTGTTTGTTTCATAGTCATCTAGAGAATGGCTTGTGTTGTAGTCACTGGGCCTCAGCCAGTGGTAAATACCAACGAGGAGATAAGGTACAGCATTAGCAACTGTAGTTATAACAGCGCCTCGCCCCAGTAGTTCTGTCCGTGCCTAGCCCCAGCCAGAGGCTCAGCAACGCACCCCTGGAGATTGCGACCTGTTACAAGGAAACGCTCGTTAATAATTATCATCATAATAATAATCCTTGCATTTGATATAGCGCCTGATCGCGTCTTCGCGATGTCTCAGAGCGCTTCACAGGATACACTGTAAAATGAATTGACTGTGTATTTTTGGGCGAAACGCGGCAGCCAATTGCACACAGCAACGTCTGTCCCACAAACAGCCGTGGGTTGAGTGGCCAAAATTAAAAAAAACTTATGTTTATAATATTCAGCCTTCAGTTTAATACCATGTTTTGGGGTGCGAGGTGGGGGTGGGGTGGGGGGGCACAGGCCAGGACGCTGAGGCCCTGATACAAAGGAGCTTTGTTGTGCAGGAAGCCTGAGGAGCACACTGGCTGTCTGTCTTACCCCGAGACAGAGCTGCCTCCCTGGGCCGGGGTGGGGACTGGGGGAACTGCTGGTTTTCGTGGCTGGCGGGGCTGGGGCAGGGCTGGCGCTGGGCAGGGGCTGGCGCTTGGCTGGCGCTGGGCAGGGGCTGGCGCTGGGCAGGGGCTGGCGCTGGGCAGGGGCTGGCGCTGGGCAGGGCTGGGCAGGGCAGGGCTGGGGCTGGGCAGGGCAGGGCTGGCAGGGCTGGGGCAGGGCAGGGCTGGGCTGGGCTGGTCAGGGCTGGTCAGGGCAAGGGCTGGGCATGGCTGGGGCTGGGCAGGGCTGGGTTGGGCAGCGCAGGCTGGGGCTGGGGCTGGGCAGGGCAGGGGCAGGGGCAGGGCAGGGGCAGGGCTGGGCAGGGCTGGCAGGCTGGGCAGGGGCTGGGCTGGGCAGGGCTGGGCCGGGGCTGGGCTGGGGCTGGGCTGGGGCTGGGGCTGGGCAGGGCAGGGCAGGGCTGGGCTGGGCAGGGCTGGGGCTGGGGCTGGGCAGGGCTGGGCAGGGCAGGGCTGGGCAGGGCTGGGGCAGGGCAGGGCTGGGCTGGGCTGGTCAGGGCTGGTCAGGGCAAGGGCTGGGCAGGGCTGGGCATGGCTGGGGCTGGGCAGGGCTGGGTTGGGCTGCGCAGCGCAGGGCTGGGCAGGGCAGGGCAGGGCAGGGCTGGGCAGGGGCAGGGGCAGGGCTGGGCTGGGGCTGGGCTGGGGCAGGGCAGGGCAGGGCAGGGCAGGGCTGGGCTGGGGCTGGGCTGGGGCAGGGCAGGGCAGGGGCAGGGCAGGGGCAGGGCAGGGCAGGGCTGGGCAGGGCTGGGGCAGGGCTGGGCTGGGCTGGGGCAGGGCTGGGCTGGGGCAGGGCTGGGCTGGGGCAGGGCTGGGGCAGGGCAGGGCTGGGCAGGGCAGGGCTAGGGCTGGGCTGGGCTAGGGCTAGGGCTGGGCAGTGGCTGGGCTGGGGCAGGGCTAGGGCTGGGCAGGGCTAGGGCTAGGGCTGGCAGGGCTGGGCAGGGCAGGGCTAGGGCTGGGCAGGGCTAGGGCTAGGGCTGGGCAGTGGCTGGGCAGGGCTGGGCTGGGGCAGGGCTGGGGCTGGGCAGGTCAGGGCTGGGCTGGGCTGGGCTGGGCAGGGCAGGGCTGGGCAGGGCTGGGCAGGGCAGGGCTGGGCAGGGCAGGGCAGGGCTGGCGGCACAGACCGAGCACTGGGATGAAATGGAAAGTTGGTCGAGGCCACACCACTTCCTGCTCCTCAGATTTCCTTCCACTCACTTCTGCCTCTCATATTGAGTATCTGGAAAAGCTTTTACAGGGGAATTGCACACAGGAGAGACGTAAATGTGTCTGTGTGTGTGCAGTGTGCAGGTCTGTGTCCGTGTGCATCTGCGTGTCCTTGTGTGTGTGCACGCCTGTATGTGTGTGGTATGTGTGTATACATATCTGTCTGTGTGTGCAGATCTGTGTCCGTGTGTGTCTGTGTATCCTTGTGTGCGTGTGTCTGCGTGCCCTTGTGTGTGTGAGTGCGCGCGTGCGTGTCTGTCTGTGAGCGCGCGTGTGTCTGTCTGTGTGCGTCCGTCTGTCTGTGCGTCTCTGTGTGTGTCTGCCTGTCGGGGCGTGTGTGTGTGTGTGTGTGTATGTATGTGCCTGTCTCAGTGAGTGTGTGTGTGATGATGTGTACGGGGATCGGACTAACCAGATGGCTCTCAGGGACGGGTGATGGGTCGCTAGGTGTGGTGGCAGCTGGCAGCACAAGCTGCCCACACGCATGAGCAACACATAGTTAGCTGGAATCTTTACAGACGTGTGTGCGTTGTTGCCGTGGTAACCAGATTTGTTGACTGTCGACTCAATGGAATAATCCCATTCCAATTTTTAACAGTCTCTGTGGTCTCCCTCTCGCCTTCTTGTTGATGCTTCGATGCCCCCCCCTCCCCCCCCCCCCCCAGGCGGGTTGGCTGGTTGGTTCACAGTGTGGGAGCCATGTGACTGTTCGTGGACGGCTATTTTCCGAGCGGGATCCATTACTTGGTTTCGGGCTGGAAACCGGGAAACATCTGGGAACGATAATCCTGTGACGTCAACACAGCTTCAGCCGGGCTGGGAGTCAGGCAGAGCGAGGATTAGGGACTAAGACACTGCTAATATACATTCCCCTCTCGTCCAAGTGCTTCAGCTGTGCTGGGGGGGTGGGGGGCGGGGAGCAGGCATGTGGTGGGGGGCAGGCAAGTGGGGTGGGGGTGCAGGCTGGAAGCGGGACTATAATGGAGACGCCAGTGACTGCAGCAGCAACAACAGCAACTTGCATTTTACACAGCGTCTCTGAGCGCTTAACAATACCGGAGCCTGATGCCGAGCCGGGGGAGGGAGGGAGGAGGTGAACATTAGCACACGGTCGAAGAGGAGAGTCTTTCATGATTGTGAATGAAAGGAGGGGAATGAGGGAGGGAGGGAGGGAGGGAGGGATTGAGGTTCCAAAGCTTCGTGGGCGTTAGTGGCGTAAGCGCGGTAGTGGAGGGCGGAAATCTCAGCAATATTCCAGCAGAATACAATGGCTGTCCTTGATGAGCAACTCAGATTCTGTACCGTATATTTTAAGACCCGTTTTAGAGCAGTAACTAACCGCTCGTTTGCTCACTCGCTCCCTGCATCAGCTTCACACGGAGCCTGTCTCTGCTTGTTGCTGCAATAAAGATCCCGGGGGGAAGGAGAAGGAATGGGCGAGCGAGGGGTTGGGGGTGAGGGGGAGGTGGGGGTGAGCTGCAGCGTGATGTTATGTGCATCTGAATACAGTGGCTGTTACACTGGATGAAGCAGTGCCAGGGAAAGAGGAAGGAGGGAAGTTCTAAGCCGGGGAGACACACGGACACACCAGGCGCAGGGAGTGGCGCTGTGCTGTGCGTAAGAGCTCAGCTGATGTGAATAGGGCCATTGACAGCACTGTGCACTCACTCCGGCAGCTCACACACACACACACACGCTGTCTGTCCTGCACAAACTGACTGTGCGTGTGTCTGTGTTGTTTTTTTTTCCGGTTTTAAAACAATCTGCAGACTGTATTTTCTGGAATTAATGCACGTCTGTGGGGACTGCGTTTTGTTTTGCTTTTTTGGCCACGTGCGAGACGTTTGGAAGTGAGGGAGACTGTGGCTGTGACTGTCGTTGCTGAGCTCAGCTCCGAGTGAAGGGTTTTATTTGTGGTTGACGTTCGTTCGGGACGCAAGTCAGCTCCTGTGATTCAGAGAGAGGGATTCAGTGTGTGGGTGTGTGAGGGCAGCTGCGCTCTCTATGTGTCAGGAATTACCCGCTGGAGCCCGTGGTGAGGGATTTGCCACGCTCTCCATCTCTCCGTCAAAATGTACGAAAGGCACAAGAGACGTTACAGTCTGTCCGGAGTTTCCAAGCGCGGCAGCCGGGCGGGGGATGTGGTGCTGCTGAAGGTACGTACGTTCATTTGCGCAGTGATTTCTGTAATAAAAATATCGCTAGCCTTTGTGGGTGTGTCTGTGCTTGGGTGTGTGTCAGTGTGATGTTTGTCAGTGTGTGTGTGTGTGTGTTGTCTGAACGTGTGTTTGTGTGAGTGAGTGAAAGTGAGCGCTTGTGTGTGTGTGTGTGTGCGTGTCAGTATGTATGTGTGTAATGAGCTGTTGAATAAGAGAAAGTCTGGAGTTCAGTCTGGGAATCTTATCCTGAACTTTTTACTGGATGAATTTGGCCAAGTTCCTGAGGAGCGCAGAGAGAGCAGTGACTGCAATTACACAGCTTTGCTCTGCTAATAGAGTTTCACAAAAGAGTGAGACTGTGGAGAGAAAGGGAAGGAGGGAGGGAGAGTGGGAGGGAGGGAGACCTGTGGGGAGCGGGAGATCATTCCCGTCATGGAGCATTGACTCTAACTGCGGCTCCGAATGTCCAGTAGATACACGGATACACTGCGGGATGTGGGGGGAGGGAACTAAATGTCATGAATAGGACTTTGTTCATTGTGGAGCTCCCCTTGGGCATTCCCAAACCCCTTCCCCCCCCCCCCCACCCCCCCCTCACCCTCCCGCCTCCTCAATGATCCCTGGACATTCGGGGGGGTGGCAGGGGGAGTGGGGGAGAGAGAGAGAGAGAGTGAAACGAAGCCTGGGAAAAGTGAGCGTGTCTGTGTTCAATCAGATATGTTTCCCAGTGCGGCTGGTCTGTGCCAGAGAACTGGCTCTGAAATCACACAGATGTTTTGTCCTTTGTCAGGCAGGAAAAGCAAAGCAAAAAAAGCTTTTATCCGTTCCTTTTTGAAGTCGGATGAGGGGGGGGAGGGGGAAAGAGAGAGAGAGAGAATCACAGCCACATGGTTTGTTCTTTGACGGGGGGTTGGGGTGGGTTGCATGGGGTTGGGGGAGAAGACAACAACAGCAACTTGCATTTATATAGCGCCCCTCGTGCAGGGCAGCGTCCCAGAGGATGGTCTGTATTTACTCCCAGGGTTGGCATTTCCTGAGTCGCGTTGAACAATGGCACGGGGTAAAGGTTGCCTTTGCCGTGTGCGGAGGCAGTGAGGTGCCGCACTGTGTCAGCCTGTTCACTATGATGCTCAGTCGATCCACAGAGACCGCTTGCTTATCAGCAACGTATGTGCCTGGGATTGCAGCCGGCCTATTTATACCTCGCTGTGAAAGTATTACTTGTGAAATGATTTGTTTTCCTCTTAAACAGAGGCCGTTCCGGAGAGCGACCTCTGGGGCCTGGGTTTGAGCGATTCCATCACTAACGGCTTATAAGGAAGGGGCTGGCAGCCGTGTGTGTAATTTGTTGGTGTTGTGTATGTGAGCCTATGTGTGACCATTGTCGGCGGCCGGGCCTTCAGGCTCTCTGCCCCACCCTCTGGAGCTCCATCCCACATTCCCTTTGCCTCGCTCCCTCCCTCGCCTCCTTCGAGGAGCATCTCAGTACCCTCCTCTTCGACCGCACCTTCGATCACCCTCCTACCTTCTTCCACCCTCCCTGCCCTCCACACCCTCGATCCCGAACCCCAGCTCGGGTCCAAATCCCTGACTGTAAATGCAATTTGGTCACTCAATCCACGACTGTTTGTGGGAACGCTGCTGTACGCTATTGGCTGCCGTGTTTCTCCCACAAAATACACAGTCAATTTGCTTTGCGGAATATTCTGTGAAGCGCTTTGAGATGTTTTTGTTTGTGTGTCATTGTGTGTGAGTGTGTGTGAGTCTGTGTGTGATCTCAGCTCCCAGTAACACTGACGTGCTCTGCCTTTGCCTTTACAGATCATCCGAGAGGACTGGTGTCCAGAGCCCAGGCTACTGCCCCCTGAACACAGCGCCCAGCCAGCAGGTAAGTGGAGGCTTTGCTGAGGGTGAACGTGAGCAGTGGAGGGAGTGGGGCTTATTGTAGACCGAGTCAGTGCTCACTGCACAGTGACTGTCTGATTAATGTTCAACTGAAGAGCGTTAAAATCCAGCCAAGGTCTGTCTCTGTACCACACCAGGGTCACTCACAGCCTGGCTCCCACCGGCAACCAGAGGCAACCACCGGTTGAAGCCTCATTTAAGGGCTTGTGAGCTGGCAGTCCAGGCTGACACTGCAACACAGCGCTGCATTGTTAGAGGTACCTTTCCCTCCAGTGAGATGTTAAACTCAGGTCCTGTCTGTGCCTGTTGTTACGGATGTTGAAGCTGCCCTTGGCACAAAGAGAAGGGAGTTTCCCTCCCTAGTGTCCTGGCCAACTATCCCGCACATTAATTACTTGTTCACCTCACAGCTGCCTGTGAACCTCGCTGGCACACACCACCACAAGGTTTGCCTAAAACAACAGTCACTGCACTCGATGGTAATCGCTCACGAGACACGTTGCTGTGAGAAGGATTGTGTGATTGGCGTAAAATGGCCGTCTTGCTTCTTTCAGCTTTTTCCTTCTGTCCAGTGCTGTGTGAGATGCAAACCGTCAGTCACTGCGCCCCTAACCACTGCACCTCCTTCACTCTATCCCTCTGTCTCTCTCGCACCCTCCCTTTACCGCTCTGTCTCACTCCCTCTCTCTACCTCTCTGTCTCACTCCCTCTTTCTACCCCTCCGTCTCACTCCCTCTCTCTACCTCTCCGTCTCACTCCTCCCTACCCCAGAGTCTCACTCCCTCCCTCTAGCTCTCTGACTCACTCTCTCTCTCTCTCGACTATGACAATCACCCCCCTCCTCCATGCTCAGCATCCAACACCGTAAAGACTTATGCTATGTGAAGGGCGCTGTGTAAATGCAAGCAGCGGCTGTTGTTGTAGTGGCTGTTTTTGTTGTTGTAGTAGTTGCTGCTGTTGTTCCTGATTGTGTTGTTGTTGCTGTTGTTGCTATTGTTGTTGTAGTATGCGGGTGTACAATACATGGTTTACTGTGCGCATAAAATAAGCCTTCCTGCATGGGGAGGGTGGGGTGGGGGGGTGGTGTAGGGGGGAAGGTGACTATAGGTGAGGTTGAGGAGGTCAGTCTTAATGTGGAATCACTCCATGTTTCCCAGTGAGATGACACCGCATGTTGGCGACGGGCTGTGTTTCCACTCGAGGTGACGTGTGTATAAACCACACTAGCCACGTGTGGGGATGTGACTGAGCCCTTGATTTGCAAACCTATTGCTCAGTTCCTCCAGCAATTGAAAATTCCGTCCGTCCGCCTCTCTTTCCCTCCCTCTCTGGCTGGCTCTCGGCTCTGAGCTCTCAGCCCTGCTCCGCACTGGAGATGGAGCTGCTGAAAACGTATGATCTGATCTGAGGAGAATGTGGAAAAGGAAAAAAAAATCTGCCCTAGCCCCCAGCGTTTCATTACAGCAACTGTTCTCAGTCCAACTGTGTAAAGACACCCCGGCCACTCCAGGTGGTTTAATGTGTGTGTGTGTCCAAGTGTTTGTCTGTGTGTGTTTGTGTGTATTTACGTGTACGTGTCCATGTGTGTGTGTGTCAGTGTGTATGTCTTTGTGCGTTTCTGTATTTGTGTGTGTGTGTGTGTGTTTGTGTGTGTGTGTATGTGGGGGGTCTGGACAGTGAGAGTGTTCTGTGGGGTTGGAAGCACTGTGTGATGCCTGGATCATCGCCAGTGTTTACGGCTCAGTTGGAGAAACCCAAATAATAAAAAAAAGGCAACTTATTTTTAGATTAGATTCCACTCCTTAATCGGTGAGAGAGCTTTTAACATAGCAGGAGCCATTGTGGTGAGAATGCCTTCAACATGGATTCCTTGTGATTCGGAAGCTTGTGTGCAATGATTCATCAACAACAACAAAATTACATTTGTATAGTGCCTTTCACGTCGGGAGGACGTCCCAAGGCACTGGACAGACAATGAACACAAGTTATGGTGTAGGTGAGCGTGAACAATTTCAGTCACAGAATTTAAGATAATCCCCTCCCCCCCCCCCCCCTCCCCGATCCTCTACACCACTGACTGTTTGGTTTGGAGACTCTTAATCATGGTGACGGGTTTCCACATGTGTCAGACATTCGACCGACCAAACATGGCCACAGTTTATTTGGAAGCCGATCTTCCTGTAGTTCTTATTAAAATATATATTTTTTAAAAAATTCTAAATTAAGAGTAGATTTGATCGAGTCGCCAGAGTTTATTATGAAATATTATTACAAAGTATTAAGCATTAATATCACAGAGAGGATTGATATCTGGTCTGGGATGGATACAGAGTTGGTATTGAGTTGGTGCAGACTTTGCTGTCAGGGTGTGTCTACGTGGGACGTTACACGCAGAGGATTCTAATTTGAATCTGTTTGTATGAGGTAATAGAAAGCAAAATTACAAGGGAGGGAAAAGTGATTATTTCCTGATGGGGAAATGGAACAGTGTATTTATTAGTGGCTGTTGCTGGGTACGTGAGCCAACCTGGCTCTCAGCCCAGCTCTCAGTCATTCCATCCTCCTCCGCTCCCCCAGCCTGTGCTGTGCCCAGGTTAGCTCCAGCCTTGCCCCCCATTCCCACGTCGCTCCTGCTGATTAGACCTCACCGGGGATAAAATAATCACCATGTAATGAAAATACGCTAAGGAGTCCCGCAGTGCAGTGGCTAGTTCTGTGCGCAATTGGATGTCGCGTTTCGCCCACAAATATACAGTCGATTCACTTTACAGTCTATTCTGTGAAACGCTTTGAGGCGTCGAGAAGACGTGAAAAGCGCTATACCAAATGCAAGGATTATTATTACTATTAGAGGGGACCCGGGATCGATTCCCAGCCAGTACAAAACCTTTGGCAAGTTTCCTTACTCCACACCCCCGGTTTACCCAGCAGTAAGTAGGAACCCGATTGTTAGTTGATTGGAGGATCGCTTTCCGGAGGGTAATAATCCCTCCAAGAAAAATATTTTGGTCACCCAATCCATTGACGCATTGACATGAAGGATTGCAAGGATTGCGATGTTAGAGGTCACATCTCACTGTTGTTCAGAAATCCATCTGCTCAAGGAGCTCAGCAGCCAAACCTAAGTCGGCATCGTGAGCTGAGAGGCACCTGGTGATATAATTCCTGTTTAATGTTCAGGTTAATGATCCCCCACACCACCACCACCCCTCCCTTTACAACACATACAAACACTAAACAACCTACCATTTAATCACCACTAACCCTGTGTTGAGACAGGTAGCGGACTCCTAATGGAGCGCCTCTCCTAATTACTTGTACGAAACATGCCATTAAAGCTCCATCACCACCCCATGCGGTGGCTGACATGTCAGGACAGCACGTTACACGTGTGTGCGGGCTGTTTTGCCCGAGTAATTTATGTGTTTCTTTTCTCTCCCACTGTGGCTGGCGTCCTGGCTTATAATTTTCTCCTGCAGTAAAAATATGTAGCACTGCTCTGACATTCCTGTGTGGGGATTTGTGTCTGGATGTTTGGGTGTGTAGGTGTGTGTGTGTATAGATGTGTGTGTGTGTACAGGTGTGTGTGTGTGTGTGTGTGCATATAGGTGTCTGTGTGTGTGTATAGGTGTGTGTGTGTGCATATAGGTGTGTGTGTGTATAGGTGTCAGTGTGTGTATGTATATAGGTGTCAGTGTGTGTGTGTATATAGGTGTGTGTGTATAAGTGTGTGTGTGTGTATAGGTGTGTGTGTGTGTGTAAACACACACACTTGGCTTCAGTCTGAGATTTGATGTGAGAGGCTTTGTATTTAAAGGCTGTGTTACTGGTTGTAACTCAGTCTTTCACACAGGCTGGTCCTGGGAGAAGACGAACAGGGAGGTAGGTTTCCTGAGATACTTCCTAGACAGAGCAAGACGAGCAGACACGATGGCTGAGATCTTTCATGTGGTTAAAGTGAAACTATATTGTCCTTAAATTGTGTTCAGGGCTATGACAGTGGCAGAAATAATAATAATAATCCTTGCATTTGACACAGCGCCTTATCACGGTCTTTGAGACGTCTCAAAATGCTTCACAGGATACACTGTAAAGTGAACTGACTATTTTGCAGGTGAAACAAAATGGGGGGGTGGGGTGGGGAATGGGCATTGTATCATCAGAGACACCGTCATTGGGGTGAGACATTAAAAGCAGGCTGTCAGGTTGAATGGGAGGATCGCTTATCACAGAGACTCGTGACCCTCAATTCTAAAGCGTTGTGTACTCAGCAGAATATAAATATTGTTTGGACCAGGGAGCGAGAATAAAACTGTTCAGTGTGTGGAGACGGGCACAACATGAACACAGACTCCCTGGTTAGTGGCAGCACCGACCTGTTCAAGCAACATTCCTCCCCTCGTCTTCTCCCCCTCTCCTCCCACCCCCCTCCCCTTCTCCTCTCCTTCCCCCCCTTCCCCCCCCCCCCCCCCCCCCCCCCCACCCACTTCTCCTCTTTTCTCCCCTAACTTCTCTTTTTCTTTAACAACTTGCCATTTGATGTTACATTTTCTGCTGGTCCATGCTCTTTAATTCAGTCAGTAATAGAGGGAGGGAGAGCATTGATAGTCTGGATGGGACCACACGCATGCAGACCTACACACATGCACACCTACATACACGCACACCTATATACACACACACACATGCACACATACAGACACCCACACACACATGCACATACAGACACACACACAGATAGTCACACACACACACAGCTCAGCTCTGAATCACCGTTAGACAATCCCATTGTGAGTTGGCCCTCAGACCCCCCCAGAGTGCGAGGTGCAGCCTGTGCCCCCGGCTCGGAGCTTGTGTGTGTGTTAGTTATCAGGTTCCAGCATCAGCCTTGACCGTTTTGCTAGCGGACAGTGTACAGAGCAACCTCCCCACCACCCCCCCAGCAGTGAATTGTCAGGCCCTCTCTCTGCCACTCTCTTACTCTCACTTTCACTGTATGCGTCTCTCTGTCGATGTCTCACTCTCTCTGTCACACTCTCCCACTCTCTCTGTCACTCACTGTGTAGTTGTGCAGACATGGAGACGTATTCTGGGCAAGCTTTTCCTGTGGCACCGCACCCCCTAGAAATTGGGTGTGGGACGTCCGTCTGTTCTGACTCATCGCAGTGAGGAATCTTATAGTTAATGGTGGTGGGGGGGAGGTGAAGTGAAGCTCTGTGTATCCACAGCTTGGACAGGTGTAGATCGAGACACAGACTCTCTGTCAATGGGTAATGTCCTTTAGGTGGAGTCCTGTAGCTCAGTGGTTACAGCACTCGCCTCGCAAGCGAGAGGACCCGGGTTCGATTCCTGGGCAGGGAGAGACGTTGGGCAAGTTCCCTTACTCCGCACACACGCCTCTGTTTACCAGCAGTCAGTAGGAATCCGGTTCTTAGTCAATAGGCAGATCGCTTTTCCGGGGGTAATAAGCCATTAAAAAATGTTATTATCCTGTGGTTAGCAAAACAGTACAGATTGTTACCGCTCGGTGGCAGAGGCAGGGAGGGAAGTCACAGCTGGTGGTGTTTCAGTCGATGGATGCAAACTGCACGTTTGACTCTCTCGGACCAGTGTGTGCAGTCATTTACTGCTCGGGAGTCATATCCTGCAGCTCAGTGGTTAGAGCACTCGCTTTGCAAGCGATCGATTCCCAAGCGGGGAACAACTTTAGGCAAGTTTCCTTACTCATTCACACGGTGGTTAGTTGATTGGCAGATCACTTTTCCAGGGGTAATAATCCCTTCAAAAATGATGCTAATAATAATCATCCGGTCACTCAATCCACGGCTGATTGTGGGCCGCTGCTGTGCACGATTGGCTGCTGTGTTTCGTCCACAAGCTATACCGTGATTATACTTTGCATATATTCTGTGAAGAGCTTTGAGACGTCTCGAAGTCGAGATGAGGCCTGTATCAAACACAAGGATTATTATTAACCCGTTAACTCTTCTCCAAAACACCTGCTCCCAATGCTTCGTGCCTATGGGTGGCCCTCGATTACCAGCTCAGGGCTTTGGGGGTTATTTTGACAATTTGATGGCACATCACCTGGGCTTGTCTTGTGCCCCCCCCACACACACACACACACACAGGTGGCAAGTTGGCCATTTCATTGCTCCTCTCTATACGGCGGGTTGGCGTGGCTGACCTCTCTCTCTGTGTTACCAGAGTGTGACCGGCTGGTGGCCGAGCGCTTGGCTGGATGCCCCCAGCCGTGCCTGAGGCCGGAGACGCTGTGTGCCCACCGGGACGGCTGAGCCATGACAAAGAGGACCCCGTTAACAAGCTCTCACAGGTAGGTCTCGGTCTGTCACTCACTACCCGCTCGGGCAGCCCTGTGCGACTTCATTTCTAAATCCCCTCCCACCTTCCCTTCCTCCTTCCCACGTTCCTTCCCTCTCTCACCCCTTCCCCCCCATCTCTCACCCCACACCCTCCCAACACTCACACATGGGGTCAGTTTTGCCCGTGGCACAGGCCAGACTCCCAGCCTGAGGTCTGTGTGTGTGCGTCTGTGTGTGTGCGTCTGTGTCTGTGTGTGTGTGTGTGTGATCTCTGTGGCTGTGCACAGCCGTGTGTCGGTCAGTCTCGCCACAGACCGTGAGCTGAAGGAATAAATGGTCACTTCACGAGATCACAAGACGCTCTGGATGGGAAACAAAAAAAAACAAAAAACAGCCCTTGGGACTTCATTTAATCTCATTCCCCCCTCCCCGCCCCCTCCCCCCGCCCCCTCCCCCCGCCTGCTCTCTTCCCATGACTGCATCGGGCTGTTTCCTAAATGGAGCCAGTGTCCTGGTGCGACCGCCCTTCCTGGTAACCTCACCAGCTGAGGACAGCAACTTGTGTAACCTCCTCACACACGGGGAGACGGGGAGACGGGGAGACGGGGAGCTGAGCTCTCACCCCAACTCCTCAGCAGCTGTCACTGTGCAGTCAGCTTCCTGCTCCCTGATGCCAGTCACTGTGCGTGTCTGCGGGCTTGTGTGTGCGTATGTGGTGTGCGCATGCGCTTGCGGGAGTGTGTGTGCGCACGCATGTGTTTGCAGGTGTGTGTGTGTGCGCGCACGTGTGTTTGCGGGAGTGTGTGTGTGCGCGCGCGTGTGTTTGCGGGAGTGTGTGCGCGTGAGAGTGTTTGCAGGAGTGTGTGTGTGCGCGCGCGTGTGTTTGCGGGAGTGTGTGCGCGCGCGAGTGTTTGTGGGAGTGTGTGTGCGCGCGCGCGTGTGTTTGTGGGAGTGTGTGTGTGCGTGCACACGTGTGTTTGCAGGAGTGTGTGCGCGCGCGTGTGTTTGCGGGAGTGTGTGTGTGCGCGCGCGAGTGTTTGTGGGAGTGTGTGTGCGCGCGCGCGTGTTTGCGGGAATGTGTGTGTGCGCGCGCGTGTGTTTGCAGGAGCGCGTGTGTGTGTGTGTGTGTGTGCACATGCATGTATTGTGTTTAAGGAAATGGCTCACCTGCACTATGTAACATTTGCCCGATGAGGATGGTCTTTCGCGCGGTGCTGGTGGTGGGAGGTGACTGGGGGCTGTCTTCCCCGTGAGGAGGCTTCTTGTGAATGTTTCTCTGATGGTGTTTGCGGAGCTCACTGCGTCACACGCCCCCGGACTGGCTGCGGGTTCACCAGTACCATTTAAATGGACGGAAATTTTTAATAACGAGTTTTGTTTTCCCTTCGAAACCAGCAGCGAGCGGACACAAGGGCTGCAGTGTGTGTCTGCTCCCCATCTGGGCAGCGTATGTATGTATGTATGGCTGAGGCTTTGGCACAAGTTTCCCCCCCCCCCCCCCCCAGCCCCGCCGAATCCACTGCATAGACCAGCAAATCCAGGCTCTCCCCCACCCCCCCCATATCACAACGGCAACGGCACTCACTGTGTGTGTTGTGTGTGGAGCTGCTGTAAGCAAACACTGGGCGGAATTCATTAAACAGCTGCCGTTTAAATACCAAGGTTTGTTTGTGACACCAATCCTCCGCCCCCCCCCCCCACCTCCCCCCACCCTCTCAACATTCAACAACCCCCACCCCCCACCACCACCCGAGTGTGATGGGTGCTGTATAAGCATACACACGGGACCGTGCTATCACACACGTGCTAATCATGGGGTGTTGGAGGGAGCTACAAATACACAAATGTCAGTAGCAGGAACCAGAGGAGGCCATTCAGCCCATCAAGCCTGTTCTGCTTGTATATGAAATATGTATAATAATAATAATTTAGATATCACCACTTACTGAATGTGCAGTTGTTTCTCTCTCAGGGCTCTCTCTGGGCTGCGTCTACGCCCTACTCCCTCCCTTCCTCCCTCCCTCCCTGACGTGTGCGTGTTCCCAAGACCATCTCAAGACCTTCCTGTTTGACGGTACTTTGGCCACGCTCCCACCCTCAGCCTTCCTGCCGTCCACACTTGTTGATCCCAACCCCCAGCTCGGGGGGCAAACCCTTCACTGTCCAGGGCCTTGGGACGTCCCCCTGACGTGAAAGCCGCGGGGTAAATTTAATTTGTTGTTGTTGTTGTTGTTGCCGGGGGGAGTCGGGGCTGGTGAATTGAGTGCGTGTGTGTTTGGTGCAGGTGGAGCCAGGCCTGAGTGTGACGTATACTATTGATGGTGTAACCACAACCTCATCGTCCGCTGATACCGAGCCCCTCACGACCCCTGGCCAGGGCAAGGCGGAGCCTGTGTCTGTTAGCCCCACCCCAGGGGTGAAGGAGGAGGAGCCTGTGGATGATAGCCCCACCCCAGGGGTGAAGGAGGAGGAGCCTGTGGATGATAGCCCTGCCCCAGGGGTAAAGGGGGAGGAGCCTGTGGATGATAGCCCTGCCCCAGGGGTGAAGGGGGAGGAGCCTGTGGATGATAGCCCTGCCCCAGGGGTGAAGGAGGAGGAGCCTGTGGATGTTAGCCCCGCCCCAGGGGTGAAGGAGGAGGAGGAGCCTGTGTCTGTGAACCCCGCACCAAAGGAGGAGGAGCCTGTACCTGTGAGCTCCGCCTCAGGGACAAAGGGGGAGGAGCCTGTGGATGTTAGCCCCGCCCTGGGAGTGAAGGAGGAGGAGGAGCCTGTGAGCCCCGCCCTGGGGGTGAAGGGGAAGAAGGATGTGCCGAGGTCTCGGAGTGTGGAGGAGCCGGGGACACAGGCTGCCGGTGACGGTGATGGGGCTGCTCTAGTCTGCGAGGCGGAGGAGGAGAAGGACAGAGTGTCGGACGTGCCCGTCCGCTCCCCTGCCTTCCGGCCTTCCATCCGGTCACTCTCACCGTTCAGGAGGCACAGCTGGGGGCCCGGCAAGAACTCCGGCAGCGAGGCCGAGATGAATCACCGCAGGTAAGATATCAGCCGGAGGGAGGTCTGGGTGGGGAGGGGGTGGGGGCAGCGATTTGACACTTTCCAAATAAAACTCCCTATAGAAGGGGCACCGGTGACACGTGTTGATACCCACGAGTGGGGAAACAAGCTCTCCGCCATTGGTGGCCAGAGGAACACTGCGGGTCACTGTACGCTCCCCCACGGTGGGGTGACGTGCTCTCAGCCTCCGCTCAGATCTCACCAATGTCTTCAGCAGATCCCATCCATCCCAGTACTAATGGGTTCTCCTCTCTTTTTTCCCTCCCTCCCTCTCTTCCTCTCTTCCTCCCCCGTCGTCTTCTCTTCCCCTCCCTCCCTCCCTCCCTCCCTCTCTTCCTCCCCCCACTCTCCTCCTCTCCCCACTCCCTGCCTCCCTGTTCACCTGATCTTTTCCCCACTGACTGACGGTCTCCGTGCTTTGCTTCCAGTTCAGGGAGGTTACTTGGTGACGTAAAGAAGCCACCAATACATAGGAGAAGGTAAAACGTGATGATAATACCCGCTTGTACACCTGGAGCTGCTGCTTGTCTCTCGCTCTCCGGTACAGCGCGGCATGATGTTCTCCGGCAGCTCAGCACCTTGTTTCTGTGTAACATTTCGGAGCATCGGGTGTGACCGTGAACCCTGTCGGGGACTGTGTCCAATCCCGGGGGGGAATTTCTTAACGGGATTCCTGAATGAGGAATCGGAATAGATTGCGTGTGTGTAGGGGTGGTGGTGGGGGGGTGGGAGACAACTCCTGCTGACCGGAAGAAGTTCTCTCCTACCCGAGGGAACATCGCTCCGGCACCCTGTGCTCCCCAAGCGGAATTTGCAGGAATTCTGACTGGATTCCTTGACTCGAGGGTTAATGAAATATCCCCCTGGGGTAGAGGTGGGGGTAGAATTATTCCCCCCCCCCCCAAAACGTGGTCACTCAATCCACCACTGTTTGTGGGACGCTGCGATGTGCAATTGGCTGCCGCATTTCACCCACAAAATACACAGTTACTGCACTTTACGGTATATTGTGTGAAGCGCTTTGAGACGTCCCCACGACGCGATAAAACTTTGCATCGAATGCGAGGATTATTGCTATTATTTCGTTAACGCTTTCACTAGAATGCGCCACTATTGAGAACGGCTGTTAGCTGCTTTCCTAACGCTTTGAGGCTGAATTGTTTGACCGGGGTGGGGGGGGGAGAGGGGGGGTGGGGGGGGGAGAAGGGGGGTTGGTGCGGGGCGGGGTGGTGGGGGTTGCTGTGTGTGTGTGTGAGGCATGACCCTGTGCTAGGCCATGGCGTGTGTGTGTGTGTCTGTCTGTCCACTCCCCGCGATCACATTCACAGGGTAACCTTTAACACAGTCCTGTTGCTGCACTCGAGTTAACTGAAAGGGGTGCTGTGTCTTTGTGAGCTAAGCTTACCAAGTGGAGAGGGGGAGCTCGTTGCCTTGAAACCCCCTCCCGTGCCGGGAACATCGGTTCAAACACGTCCGATTCCTTGCCACCCTCGCCCCCCCCGGGCTGACCCTCTCTCCCCTTGTTCCTAGCCTGAGTTGGTGTCCCTCTGGGGAGCAGCAGTCGGCCACAGAGGCTGAGTTTAGTTACAGAAGGTACGGTACAGCGCACGCAACGTGTGGGTGTGTGTGTGCGTGTGGGGGAGTTGGGGGGTGGTTTGGTCAGAGCCATGCTCCACCACATCCACGACGATCGATTGCCACCAAAGTGCCCTCCCCCCACCCACCTCCGAGAAACTCTGCACGATTCAGTTGCCAGTTCAGCTGGAGCGTTGCTAGTTTCTTGGGTAAATCCTGTGTAAGAGTGTGAGGGTGTATAAACTTCCATCTGCTGCTCTTGTGTGCTGAGAGGTGATGTGTGTGTGTATGTGTGTGTTTGTCTGACTGTCTGCGTGTGTGTGTGTGTGTCTTTGTGTCTGCGTGTGTGTTTCTGGAGCCTGTAACCTGGTCTGTGTGTGTGTTAGTGAGTTGCAGTGTGCCTGTGAATAACGTGTGTGTATGGGTGCGTGTGCTCAGTTACAGCCTGGAAGGTCTGGTACGTGAGAACGTGGTGACGAAGGAGCAGATGCAGCCCACGGAGATGATATTCCAGCCGAGCCGAGACCCTCGCCGAGTTCCCCTGGTGAGCACGGATGGGGGGTCCCTGGTCTCGCTGACCGAGGAGGAGATGGAGTCGGACCAGATCGACAGTAGCGTGTTCCACGACCTGGTATGTGGCTCTCACAGACTCCAGTTCTCCATTCGTCGACCCCCTGCCTCCCCACACCATCCTCTCTCTCCTGTTGCGGCTGTGTTCTGAGGTCTGTTAATGGGCGCAGTGGAGGCTGTGAGCGTCCTTTTTCCTTATGTGTGGTGTAGCAGCTTTCACACGGAGAGCAGTTGTCAGAGCTTTGTGCGGGATGTGCAGTGTGGTGACTGTGTGTCGTGTCGGCGAGTGCGGGTGCCGGCGAGGAAATGAAAGGCCCTCGTGTTTCCCTTACAGAAATCACCGCGAGCAGCACAGAAACGCTCCAACCCCCCGCTGACCAAGTCAATTTCACTGCTCGCTATCAGCCCATCGAGCATAGATGGTGAGTACAGAGAGCATTCCTGTCCAGGAACAGGCTCACCCGAGGCTGGTGTGAGCGGGGCTCAGTGTGGGGCGAGGGCTGGTGTGAGTGGGGCTCAGTGTGGGGCGAGGGCTGGTGTGAGCGGGGCTCAGTGTGGGGCGAGGGCTGGTGTGAGCGGGGCTCAGTGTGGGGCGAGGGCTGGTGTGAGTGGGGCTCAGTGTGGGGCGAGGGCTGGTGTGAGCGGGGCTCAGTGTGGGGCGAGGGCTGGTGCGAGCGGGGCTCAGTGTGGGGCTGGTGCTGGCGTCTGAGGGGTTTCACGGTGTGTGCGTGTGTGTGACGTTCTCTGGTTGCTCCCCCTCCCCTCGGCGTTGCGTGTGGACTGGGGTGGAGGGCTCTCTCTCTCTCTCTGGACGCTGTAGAGCCTGGGGCTGTCACGAGCTGGTGTGTGTAGTGGAGGAGAGAGCTTGGCCGGTGTCACTATCTCAGTAATTAACCTGTGGTTTTGACTCTGATTTACAACACAGTTTACATTGACACACGGGGCTTTTGACATCACCACAGCAACCGAAAGCCCATTCACAGCACCTGAGTTGGGGGTGTGGGGGGGAACGAGTGTTTGCTTTGTAAAGTGTGTGTGTGTGTGTGTGTGTGGTTGGGGGTAGAGATGGTGGGTGTTAAGCTTGTACCTCTGGGCCCACAATACCCTTAGCCTATCCCAATTGCTCGGGTGCAAACTCTTCACTGTCCAGCGCCTCGGGCCGTCCTCCCGATGTGTAAATGTGATGTGTCGTTGTCGTTGTACGGCTGAGGACCGTGGTTGAGGCTGAGGTAATAGACCCCTCGCTGGCTGGTCCTGTCCTGTCTCACACTGAGCTGTGCCTGAGGTGCACCAGTCAGATTTACTGCCGCAGGAACAGTGGAGCTGAGTTGGGTTTGACGTGTTCGGACGCAGGGGGGAGGCCTGTGTCTTGGCCCACGTGAAAGGTCCCGTGTGCCTCGAGCCGCGGTGAGACGTCAGATCGACACGGGTGACTGGCCTGGGTTAAACCAGCTTCTGGGGTTTGTCCTGGTCCTGAGACGACTGTGACTCGCTCATAACTCGTCACTCGCTGAGCGATAATCCTCCCTCTTTGTCCTCCATTTCTCTGACTCTTTTGGGTTTAATTGGCCTTGTTTCCTATTCCTTGGCAATGATGTAACCGCTTTTTGGTTCCTTGTTTATTTTCCTCTCTCTCTCGCTCTCTCTCTGTCTGTACTGTTTGGGGCCTTTGCAGGGCTTTAGGACAGACTCCAGCTGCTCAGATCCAGTCAGTGACTTGAGTGCCAGCTCTTCTGCTTTTCCTTCCCACTGAAGCCTGAAAAGTGTCTCTTGTTTTCTACACATGGCTCTCAGCCCCCACCCCCCCCCCACCCTCCAATCCCTCCATACAGCAGCCATCTCCCTGTGTTACAGGGATCAGCCATTTGAAGGTTTAAAAAGTGAGGTTAAACCGTCCGGGGTACAGTCACTCAAACCAACGCAATCTCCTGTCTCCCAGTGTCTGAAATGCAGCAGTAGTTCTGCTTGCACAATGTTGAGAATCTTGAGTCAGACCTCACTGGCTGCTGCTCGCACAGCCCTCAACTTCAGAGTGAACCAGTTACTCCCCCCCTCCCCCACCTCACGCCCCCCCCACCTCAGTGACCCCCTAAAAGCCCGCCGACCTGCCCATCCGCTCCATCTGCTCGGCAGGCACTGGCCTCCAACATCAGCAGTCAGGCCTTCAGTGTTTCTGCCCCCACTCTCTGGAACTCCATCCCGGAGCCCCTCTACCTCGCCCCCCCCCCCCCCCCACCTCTTTAACAGTGCCTTCGGTCATCTTCCCACTCCCCGTTGCCCACCCCCTCCCCCTGAATCCAACCTCCAGCTTGGGTGCAAACCCTCGACTGTCCCAACACCTTGGGACATCCTCCTGAAATGAAATTTGCCCACAAATATACAGTCAATTCACTGTACAGTATATTCTGTGAAGCGCTTTGAGACGTCGAGAAGGCGTGAAAAGCGCTATATCAAATGCAAGGATTATTATTTTTAAAGGCACTTTACTATATAAATGCAATTGGTTGTTGTTGTGAATAACTATTGGTTGTTTATCGTCAAATAAGTTGATAGAAATGAATCCAATAACCCACCAAAGTGACCGAGTAATTGTCAGACATGATGCAATGTATAAACACAGCACTGTAGGAAACATGAACAAGTTACTGCCATTACAGTGAGGGTTCCTGCGCCGTAGTGACTGGGAGCAATGTCTGTCTGTCTCTTTAAGGCTCTAATCACTCATCCTGGACAGATTCTTAGTGACTTTCCATTAATCCGGCAAAATAACTGGCCCCAGGCCCTCACTGGGGATTTCCCAATCCCCATGAGTAACACATGAGACAGGACGTGAAACCACAAGTCACTGATTGATCGAGGGAGGGGTGTGGGGGCGGTGGGGGGGCGAGTGCTGAACAGCGGCGGATGGGGCTGAGCAGCCGGAAAGCGCAGGCAGACACGTGCCACGGAGACGCTGATCACTAAAGGTGACCCGACTCAGTGACACAGCTCTGCACACTCACTGTTTCATTCCCTTTTGTTTTGTAGCTGGTGCCTTAAATACTCCTCACCGGTGTAGCACGTGTGTGTTTGTTGTTCGTGTTGGGGTTTGTTGGGTGTGAGCTGGTTAACGGAAAATTAGCCCACGGTTCGGGTTTATTGGCCAACGTTGATTCTGAGAAATAAACTCCTGAAGTTTCCAATCTTTAGCCACAGACACCGACCTACACACACACACCACTCGTACGCACACACACCACTCACACACACACACGCACACACACACACACGCGCACACCCCCAAACACGCGCACCCCCAAACACGCACACCCCCAAACACGCACACCCCCAAACACGCGCACCCCTAAACACACACACCCCTAAACACACACGCACACAAATACGTGTGATGGCATTTCTCTAATACTCTGCACTTTGTGACCTCTGTGCTTCTAACATGTTAGCGTCACTCCCTCCCTCCCTCCCTCCCACCCCCCCCCACCCCTCAGGCAGGTGTGGAAGTGAGAACGTGCTGTAGCATTCCTGTACGTACACTCACTGTGAGAGCAACCAGGCAAAGGCCAAGCTGAAGCCGTACAGGCCTATCCCCGGGGTGGGGGGGGGTGGGGAGCAGATTGCTGGCTCGCCTCCCCGTCTGCCCGCGTCCTGTTAGCATTCTGTAACCTGAGGAGCTCGAGCTGGCGAGTGAGTGAGGGGGTGGCGAGGGGCGTGGCCAGGGCTGGGGGAGAGGAGACGGGTTAAATGTTCGCTGAGAAAAGCAAGTTGAGCGTTGACAAACTTGACGGGAAATGGTGGAGTCCTGTAGCTCAGTGGTTACAGCCCTCGTGCCGCAAGCGAGAGAACCTGGGTTCGATTCCCCGGCAAGGCAAAACGTTAGGAAAGTTTCTTTACTCCACACGCCTCTGTTTACCAGCAGTAAATAGGAACCTGGTTGTTGGTCGATTGGCGGATCGCTTTCCGGGAATAATAATCCCTTCAAAAATAAATAATAATAATAAATTGATCACTCGATCCGTGGCTGGTTCTGGGGAACGCTGCTGTGTGCAATTGGCTGCCAAGTGTCGCCCACAGAATACACAGTCAATTCACTTTACAGTATATTCTGTGAAGCACTTTGGGACGTCTCAAAGACGTGATAAGGGGCTGTATCAACATCTGTGTGCCAGGATTATTTTGAGGATAAATAGACAGTCAATTGGGGAGGAATGAGCTGTTTGAAAAGCCTCGCAAGATTCTCGCCAAGCTACAGCTGCCAACAATCAGACACATGAAACAATCCCCAGCTCTTTTCTATAACACAGTGTTATCAGAGCCCGTCCTCCACAATGTCTTTAGGTTGGTCTCTAGGCTGAATGTACTCTCACAATGACTGTCTGCAAAGCTAATCTTTAATCGTTGCCGGTGATTTGAATGCTTCATCTCCCCACCCCAACCCCTCGCATCGCATCGCATCGCTCACTTGTTTTCAATTCATTTTGTCATTTCACTGGTAACAGAACCACTTGTAGCGACAGTTGGTGATCAACGGTTCGTGCTTCTGTTGAGGAGAAATCTTGAGCTTGTTTATGAGGAGTGGGGCGCGTGAGGATTGCGATCAGTGCCTCACTTGACCTGAGAGCTGGGCTTGAGCACAGACCGGCCATGCGTGCTCTAACTGTGCTGCTAACACCTTTACCAGACCAGGCACGGACACGCCACAGCAGACGCATCTCCTTTTCCCTGCACATCTCTCCGCTGCTCTCTAAGCCGAAAACTCTTGTTTCTCTCGGCTCGTCTTTTTAAGCGACGACGCGTCAGCTAGTAAGTAACGTTTTGAATGAATTGCCTGCCCGCTGGGGGCTGTCCTTGTCCTGTCACGCGCAGGGCCAACAATAACCGCAGGGTCTGCTGCTGTTATACAGTAAGCTCCTGATAACTCGTCACTCCCAGGGAAAGGGGCTCAGCGACACGTTATCAGGAGTGGTGAGTTAGGCCTGTGTATTGCTGTATAGGTTATTCTAATGAACGGGCTCTGGGGTCTGGGGAGCCTGTTAACTCCAGGCCCATGTCTCGCCCGTTGTGATCTCGCTCGTGTTTGCAGAGTTGGCTCGGTCTCTGGGTTCTTCCAGGTCAGATTCTAAATTCCCATCTTCCTCCCAAAATCCCTCCCCATTCACAACGTCAAAGCTCAGTTCAGATGAGTGGCTCTCTTATTGCAGATTATCCTGTGTGTGTGTGGGGGTGGGGGGGCGGTCTGTTGTATGTTAGCTGTTGAGGGGGTTATCATACATTGGCTGCTGGGGGGAGAGATATGTGTTTTTGTGTGTGTGTAGGGGGTTGTGTGTTAGCTGTGTGTGTGTGTCGGGGTTGTGTGTTAGCTGTGTGTGTGTAGGGGGTTGTGTGTGTGTGTGTGTGTGTCGGGGTTGTGTGTGTGTGTGTGTGTGTCGGGGTTGTGTGTGTGTGTGTGTAGGGGGTTGTGTGTGTGTGTGTAGGGGGTTGTGTGTGTGTGTGTAGGGGGTTGTGTGTGTGTGTGTGTAGGGGGTTGTGTGTGTGTGTGTGTAGGGGGTTGTGTGTTAGCTGTGTGTGTGTGTGTAGGGGGTTGTGTGTTAGCTGTGTGTGTGTGTGTGTAGGGGGTTGTGTGTGTGTAGGGGGTTGTGTGTGTGTGTGTGTGTGTGTAGGGGGTTGTGTGTTAGCTGTGTGTGTGTGTCGGGGTTGTGTGTGTGTGTGTGTAGGGGGTTGTGTGTGTGTGTGTGTGTAGGGGAGGTGTTATTGCTGTACGCTGGCCTTACACAGCCTGCAGCCCTGAGAGCAATGTTGACTGTGTTTGGGAACTTTGGCTTCGCTGTGGGTTTGCGTCTTGCGCAAACCTCCTGTTGCTTCAGCCTCTGTTTCGCAGACGTTAAATGTGAGTCAAACCTCCAGGGGTGGGGGGGGGGGACTGTGGGGGCTGGGCAGTCAGGTGGGTGGGGTGGTCTCTGGTGGGAGGGGACTGGGCCGTATCTGGATGGGAGCGATCTCTAAATGGGGGCGAGGGGGAGGTTGGTCTCTGGGGTGGGAGGGCGGTAGTTATTCTCTGGTGGGGGATAGAGATCTCTAAGGGTGGGGGAGTAGTCTTGGGTTGGGGTGGGGGGTGCTGTTACCCGCCTTTCTTCCTCCAATAAGTTGGCAGTGACCCCCACCTAAATGGTGACCTTACGGTATATTCCCCAGCGCTTCCCCAGCCAACAACCGGCTGTCAACTCGGTCAGTGTTTCAATCAAGAAAACGTTTTAAACTGTTTTCACTGAAACCACGGTGCGATGTATTTGACACTGTCCCAGTCTGCAGCGCATCCGCAGTTTGGGGGGGGCTCTAACCACACTCGATGGTAGATTGGTCGATTGCAGTGTGAACGGCTGGAGTTAGGAAATGGGAAGTCACACAGAGAGAGAGAGAGATAGAGGGCCCCTCGTCCTCTCAGCGCTGTTCAAGGGCAGGTCTTTATGTGTTAACACATGCTCAGTAATCGCTGCCCAATACCTGGGAATGGAGGATGGGCAACAAGACAACCATTGGGACAGTCAACTCTGCAGAGAGAGAGAGAGAGGCTGAGCAATGAAAATCAGCTGGCTGTTGGGGGGGACTTTGTTTTGTTGTTGAGCCTTATAGACCAGAGGGGACCAGTCGCCCACAAATACCACTTTACAGCACATCCTGTGATGTGCTTTGAGACGTCTCGAGAATCGTAGAATCTTACACCACAGAAGGAGGCCATTCGGCCCATCGTGCCTGTGCCGACTCTTTGAAAAGAGCTTCCAACTAGTCCCACTCCCCCATTCCTTGCGAAAGTGCTGCTTTATTATTATTATGATTATATTTATTATTCAGCCGGTGGAGCCTGGCCTGCCGGTTTATCACATCCCCACCATGACTTTTCCTGGTATTTCCTCCTTATCCGTGAACACCGATTTCCCTGCGGCTGAAACTCTGCTCAGTGGTCAGCATATAGCGTCTTAGCCCAAAGTCACTGCCCGCACATAACTGCAGATTCAATCCACAAATACCTATCTTCTGAGTCAGATCTTCGTGCAGCAATGCAGTGTGTGCAAGGGTTTCATGCAGTATTGCACGAGAATACGCAGCCGAATTTGAATGCTGTAGACAAGAGTCCTGTAGCTCAGTGGTTAGAGCACTGGCCTCGCAAGCGAGAGGACCTGGGTTTGATTCCCGGGCGGGTCAGGGCGAAACATTGGCCAAGTTTCCTTACTCCACACACACACACACACACACACACACGCCTCTGTTTACCAGCAGTCAGTAGGAACCCGGTTGTTAGTCGATCGGCGATTTGCTTTTCCGGGCGCAATAATCCCTTCCAAAAAAACAATTATAGTTTGGTCACTCATTCCACGGCTGTTTGTGGGGATGCTGTTGTGCGCAACAGGTTTTCGAGAGGTTCTGTGTGTGTGTTTCATGGACGTCTGTTGTGACAAGTCTATGGTGGTGTGGTGGAGGGGACTGCGGTGTTGAGTGAGAGGTCTCAGCCCTGCCGTGTTGTTCGGTTTTGGGTCACGCGTGCAGCCCTCGCCCCACTCCTCTGTCACATGTATGTTCACTTGGTGTTTTGCAGGTACACGGTGGTCAAGCAGCAGCAGTGCACTCGGACACAGGTAAGCCCTCCGTCTGCTCTCAGTGACACCTTACATTCCCTCTCGTAATGTTTCTGCCCCTCCCCGCAGCCCCCACCCCACTTCCCACCAGTCTCCCACCCCCCAAACTCCCCCCCCCCCCCCACCGCCGCTGCTCCCCGACGCCCTGACCAGACCTTTTGTATTTAATCACACAGTATATCTGAGGAGTGCTGCAGTGAAGCGCAGTTGAGTCCCACTCGGAAGGATCTGGAAGGCAGAGGAGGGACGAAGGTCAGCCGCACCTTCAGTTACCTCAGGAACAAAATGTCCAGCGGCAAACAGAAACACAAAGTGAGTGAGTGGGAGCTCTCCCCCTTGCCCCGGCCCCGTGTGGGTGTCCCAATGCAGGTGTCCATGTCTGTACGCTTGTGTGTGTGCGTGCATGGGTGTGTATGCGTGCATGGGTGTGCGCGTGCATGGGTGTGCGCGTGCATGGGTGTGCGTGCATGGGTGTGCCCGTGCATGGGTGTGTGCGTGCGTGTGTTGTGTGTGCGTGTATGTGTGTGCGTGTATGTGTGTGCGCTGGGGGGGAGTGGTGGGTGTGGGTGTTGATTCTGGGTATCATCTCAGGCCGTGTCCCCTCGCCCCGTGGCCAGTCACTGGGCGCCGTCTGGTAACATGGAGCGAGCGTCTGACAGCTCAGGCAGTCTGTGGTGTGGCCGCCCCACACACAGCCACATCCTCAGCTCTGACCGTACACCAGGGCCTGAAGGGGAAGGGAGTTAACAGTGTCAAGCGTTTGTATGTTAGTGGGGCTGGGATCAGCTCCTCTGGTACTCTGTCTGTCTGTCCGTGTCTCTGTGTTTATCTGTCTGTGTCTTGTGGTGTGTGTGTGTCTGTGTCTTGGGGTGTGTGTGTCTGTATCTCTGTGTTTGTCTGTGTGTGTCTGTGTGTCTGTCTGTATCAGAGTGTCAAATGTGAAATGCCGGAGAAGGTTTTACTTCAATACAAATCGAGACCTGGATTTACGAGGAGGAGTGGATTATTTCAGGGTTGGAGGGGGAGGGAGGTGGGGGTCGGAAAGCGGAGGGGTGGGGGCGTGGGGAGGGGAGGCAACTCTCCACTCCGCACAGTCTAAAACTTACAAGCGATTAAAGGGGATTGTACACCAGCTGTGAAGTGATTGAAGCACTGCCCGCCCTCTGGGCTCCGGCTTCCTCTCAGCTCTGACTAATCAGGTCTACGTCACATCAGCCCTGAGAACAGACAAGTCCACACTCCTGTCTACCCCAGCATGGAAAGTTAGCCGCCGGGTTCATTCCGATTCGGGAGCTATGTCGTGGATTAAGTTTCACATCACAAGTCCACGGAAACTGGTGAGCGTGCAGACCTGGGGAGCGAGGGAGGGGGGGAGACAGAGAGAGCGAGAGAAAGAGGGAGAGAGTGAGGTGCAGGCTGGTTGGGTTTCCAGGAGGTCGTTACTCAAGTGAATCGAACGGTTTCACATCTCGTTCTCTCTCTCTCTCTTTCCCTCTCTCTCTGCTCTCGCTTCCTGTTTATAGGCTTTCGCAACAGCCCCCCTCTCCCTCTCCTGAAACTCTCTGTGACATTTCAGGCCCTCTCGAACCCTGGCGGCTGTTTCTCCCCAGCAAATGGGTTACATCTGTTCTGCTCAGCCGCTGTTTATTGTGTGTGTGCATAAAAAAAAATGCTGATTTCTTAATTTGAAGTGCTACAGAAGAGAGTGGAGGGAGTGGAGATGCTTTGACTCTGTGCTGAATGCAATCATGTCTTGTGTAAAAAGTTGAAGCTCGTATGGGTGGGTGGGGGAGGGAGAGAGAGCGGGGGGAGGGGCGGGTGGGGGGCCGCGGAATTGCTTGGATCTCACTACGTTTTATTATGAAAACTCTTGGATGTGCCGATCGAGTGTAACTGGAGCAGAGGCCCTTTTTTTGTGTGGCTATAAATGACAGCAGAGTGTGAGTGAGCGAGTCAGTGAGTAAGAATAAAGTGGGTTGGGGGTGTTGGCGGGGGCTGGTGAGAGAGTTAAACTGGGATACAAACTACAAAGCTGCTGGTCGGGGGCAAAACACTTGGGTATATTCTCAGTGGCTGGAATTACGTCATTGCCTTTGAGATGAGCTGAGCTGAAGCTAAAACCTCATCATCTTTTATCTCTCTCGACACTGACCGAGGTGTTTGGCTTCCAAAGCACTTTTAAAGGAAATCTGCGGTCAGAAGTTATGGCTGACGTGCCGTGTGTGTGTGTCTGTGTGTGTGTCTGTGTGTGTGTGTGTGTGTGAGTGTGTTGGATGGGTTGGGGACAGTGCTGCTGTGTGAGCTTTCACTGGTACACACTGTCACGTCTATGATGGGGGCCGGAGTTTTCCTCACAAATAAACAGAGATGAAAAGCCGTTTTCCTCACAAATAAAAATGGTCACTCAATGTTTACGGGACGTCCCTGTGCCCAATTGGCTGCCGCGTTTCGCCCACAGAACACCACGCTCCACTTTACAGTATATCCTGTGAAGCGCTTTGAGACGTCTCGAAGACGTGATCAGGCGCTGTATCAAATGTAAGGGTTATTATTATTCTAATAAAAGGTGTTTTCCTTTGAACTTCCAGGAGAAGGAGAGAGTGAAAGAGAAAGAGGCGAAAGAAAAGGACAAGAAGGTGTTGATACATCACGCGTTTTGTGCCATCTTGGTCTACGGTTCACAGCAGTGTCACCAGTGCAATAAAGTGATCTCCAGCAGAGAGGCCTATCTCTGTACCAGTGAGTAGCTATGGGTTTTTTTTGGGGGGGTGTGGGGGGGGGCATCCTCATGTCTGACACATGTGGAAACCCATCACCATTGCTTAAGAGGATCCAAACCAAGCTGAGAATTCCCTGCATCCCACCTACCCATGGAAATCCCAGAGATAGATTGTTGGAATGGAATGCGCTCTCTCTCTCTCTCTCTCTCTCTCTCTCTCCTCCCTCCCTCCCTCCCTGGAGGGATGCATCCTGCTTACCTACTTCCAGAAAGTATTAGGCGCAGGTTGGTTGACGCAAGACCGATAGGAAGTAAGTGCCGACACTGTGTGACAGAGGAACACGGTGCAATGCAAGAGAAAGAGAGAAACCAAATGAGGCAACAAAATTAAAGCTAGGAACAGCTGGAACCACACAACTGCGCTCCCCTCCCCTCACACTCCACTCAGTCTTGTGTGAGTGAGAGAGAGAGAGATGTGTGCGACAGTCACATGCATGTGAGAGTGGCTGGGGGTGAGGGTTGGTTTCCTCAGAATTAGAGACCAGACCTGACGTATGTGTGATTCACATGGCCTCACTGGGCCATACACACGCACACAGACCTTTACGTGACTCAGAAAGCTCTTCCTTCCAAAGGGTCGGGGTTGTTAGATGGTCAACGCAAATAGTGATCAGTCTGATACTGGGCGTTGGTGTAAATCTGGCTAAATTACATTCTTATTACACGTACGCTCACACGCGGGTTGATGTGACGTGTCTGGAATACAATGTTACTTAGAAACATTGTACTCCACCTGTCAGTAATCTGCTTGTGTGAAGCTGAGGTTCACATTACTGACGTGTGCGCTGTCGGGCAGTCTGTCTCCTCATCCAACTCCTCTCTCGGGCCCTGTCAGCCGCTTTCTCCCCACTGCACAACTTTAGTGAAAGTGATGGCAACATTGATGGTCTTGCCTGTCCTGACGTACCCTCGTGTCGCCTGTCCTGATGTACCCTCGTGTCGCCTGTCTTGATGTACCCTCGTGTCGCCTGTCCTGATGGTGCCCCTCGTGTCGCCTGTCCTGATGGTGCCCCTCATGTCGCCTGTCCTGATGGTGCCCTCGTGTCGCCTGTCCTGATGGTGCCCCTCGTGTCGCCTGTCCTGATGGTGCCCCTCGTGTCGCCTGTCCTGATGGTGCCCCTCGTGTCGCCTGTCCTGATGGTGCCCCTCGTGTCGCCTGTCCTGATGGTGCCCCTCGTGTCGCCTGTCCTGATGGTGCCTGTTATGGCTCTCACTCTCTCTGGGCGGCTGATTGTCAAATGTGGAACGAGTGAGACTGATTTCCTCATTTTGTGATGTGTCCATTTCTCCTCGTTCACTTCAGTCTGAGGCTTGGAGGAGACTTTGTGTGTAACATTAAACTAAGGTCCCGTCTGCCTGTTCAGGTGAATGTTAAGGTTCCCGCAGAGCTATTGGAAAGAGAAGGGAGTTCCCCCCTCTCTCCCCCCTGGGGTTCTGGCCAACAATCCCCCAGATGATGAGTCGTGGCTGTTTGTGGGATGTTGCAGTGGGCAGTTTGGCTGCCGGATTCACCTACTCAGTCACTACACTTCAGAACTCAGTAAAACGCCACCCCGCGCTTTGTGCTGCCCTCCCCACTTGACAGGCACCGTATCAAGCGCTAGGATTATTATTGTTATGAACAGATCCTGTGGTCAGGGAAGAGGTGTTTGAAAATCGTGATGACGGTGTTTGATGTTATCGCTGGTTTCTCACTGCCGTCCGCCCAGATAGGGAGTTGTGCCCAGAGGCCAGAGCCTGTTGGACTCGCCTGCAGCGAGCAACACAGAAGAGTACTGCTCACACCGCAAAAAGCAGAAGTCACAGCTTTCCTGGTTGGCAATAATGTCAGGGTTTTGCACCAGGCAACGAATCTTTAAACCTTGTCATTATAAAGATTCGCTTCAACGTGGAGTCCTGTAGCTCACTGGTTAGCGCACTCTCCTCGCAAACAAAAGGACCTGGGTTTGATTCCTGGTCGGGGAGAATCGTTGGGCAAGTTTCCTTACTCCACACGCCTCTGTTTACCGAGCAGTGAGTAAGAACTCGGTTGATAGTCGATTGGGGGATCGCTTTTCTGGGGGTAATAATCCCTTCAATTAATATATAAATTAAACATAATAATAATTTGGTTGTTCAATCCACAACTGTTTGTGGGACACTGCTGTGCGTAATTGAGTGTCACTACACAGTGCACACTACTACAAACATACGCACACACAAGCACTGTGCACACATAAATGCACACACTGTGCACATCTGTACGTGTGCACATACACATTTCTCCAGATGATCTAGTGATCTAGTGATGTGGTTGTTATTGGCTTGTAAATCTGTGGTAGACTAGAGAGTTAGAGAGAGAGAGAGAGAGAGAGGGAGAGATGTCTCGGTTGAGAATTCACAACAGGAAATGTTTATTTGTGGTTTCAATCCATTCTGACTCATGATATTCTGCCCCGGGGGGAGGGGAGGGAGGAAGGGGGTAGAAACTAGTCGGCACCTCTCAACCCCGAACGAGAATCATAGTGAAAAGGAAACCCCACGATGTGGAGGGTGGGGGGGGCAATGCTTCACATCCTCCATTTGGTCAAATGCCACAGCACTTCCTGCACCCCCTCCTTCCCCTATTATACAGAGTGCTGCACCCATCACCTCTACAGCAACTTCCAGAATAAAAATATATAATAATAATAATATGGTCACTCAATCCTCAATCCATTTCCCAAACCAAACCCTTATTCCCAAACCAACCCTTTTTCCAAAACCAGCTGTTTGTGGGACCCCCCCACCCCCATCCCTCCCCAATAGCTTAACATCCACCGCCCCGCCCCCCCCCGCCCCTTTTATGGAGCGCTCCGAGATGCTGCACAAAAGCAACTGATTGTTGACGATTACTATCAATAAATCGTTCTCATTCCCGGTGACTTTTAACATCGTCCGAGCCACTGATTACATGACTTTGTTGTAACCTTGGCGTTATTAAATGCATTATTCTCTTAGAAATCCTCTCAACTCTGTGATTACATTACAGCCGGGTATCTAACCCACTGCCTTTGTGATGAGGTGTGTGAGGCGGCTCTCTTACACAAGCGTGTGATCTCGTTAGCTCTCGGGGGCCGACGACCTCCAATAACAGCACCCACCACACTGGGGCTGTGCTGAGTATCACCTCACTGGTCTGGGGCGAGCGAACATCAGCCGGCCAGCCGGCCAGCGTCCCTCCCGCTACTGCCCAGTGACCTCCTGCTGAAACGTGCACATATATATAATGTAGGCGTGCATGTGATAGCATGAGTACGTGAGGGTAAGTGAGTGAATAATGTGTGTGTGTGCGCGTGCATGCACGTGTGTGTCTATGCGCGAGTGTGCCACCCACGCTCTCGGCTGCACACACGCAGCCGCGCTCTCTCGCTGGCGACGGGCTGCGGTTGATGGCCGTTCTCTGACGGGGGGCAGAATACCGGCTGACCAACGTTTGAATTGTTTTCTCTCCGCAGACTGTAATGTACAGGTTCACAAGAGCTGCCGGGACAGTGCGGCTCCCTGCAGCAAGATCAAACAGAGGGTGAGCATCCTGCACTCTGCTTGTGCGTGTGTGTCTGTGTGTATGCGCGCCTGCATGTTGGTGGGGGTGTATGTTTCTGCTCGCGCACGTGTCGGGGCGGAGTGGGTCCGCGCGCGCTTGTGTGTGTATCTGTGTGCGTCTCGCTCTCTCTGGTGTGAGCCAGGCCTGCACGTGTGACTCTCACGACTGGTCTGAGGACGGGGTTTGTGGTGCATAACAGGGAGTGAGCGAGCGGGTGAGCGAGTGTGGCGCAAAGGGTGGCATTCTCTCCTCTCAGTCGGAGAGTTGCGGCTTCAGCCTGTGAAAGTGCAAGTTCTTTACTTATTGCAACTTTATTTCAGCCGCAGAAAAACCTTCAAGCAAACGATATCTCCACATTGCCCGTCATCATGAGAACCAAGAGTGAGTGCAGCTGGTTTGTGATTGTCCTACACGGCCTACACAGAATTGATGGCTGATACACTGCAGTCTAATTGAGAGCTTCGGTGGGGTTATTTATAGATGTGTGACAAGTGATGGAGGGATAAGATAATAAACACATTGAGAGGTTAGAGTTGCTGGTGTGAACAACAGTGAATGTCAGTAGGGGAATGATAATCATGTTGTTCAAGGTTTCAAATGAGATTGAGCTGTTTACCAATCGTTTGAACCCTTGGGATGGAGTTGGGAATGGGGCTTGGTTTGGGAATGGGGCTTGGTTTGAGATCGCTGCAGTAATCTTGCCGCCCGTGAATTCTCCCTGTCCTTACCACTGTCATGCTGCGGTGACTTGAGAGAGATTTGTGGGAGTTCTCAACGGGTTTGTTAACTAACGGCCAGACCTTTTTTGTTGGTGATTTTCTCCCTCTGTTGTGTTCCTCACGTGTAGCTTTCCAACCCAAAGAGCGGCCGCGCTCGGCGATAATCCTGCAGGACGACAGCTCGTTGCCGGCCCCCAGCCGCAAGCTGCCGACGTACCGATCGATGTCCAAGAGTATGTCCATAGCCAACATCGCAGGGTGAGTGCCCGGCTGGCCAGCCGCCCGCTCAGGCCTGCCGCGTGGCAGCAGATCCCGGGGTCCGTGGCTTTACTGTGGCCATCGCTAACCGGACATTAACTCCCAGCGTCCAGTGCCTGGCTCCCCCACACCACGCTGGGGATTCACCGTTGACCTTTGGGATCTCGACTGGGGAGTGATGTCCGGAGTGACCTGGGACACCAACATTTTTCGTGGGAGGGGGCATGTGGTACTGCACTGCCAAACCAGTTAACTCTGAAGTGGGTCAGTGATGTCTCCCCCCACCCCCCGCCCCTTGTAACTGACCTCAGAGAGAACACAGGAGGATAGCAGTGGCTGACTGGGATAGAACTCTGTCAACGTCGGCCGAAAACAAAGCCAAATTGACAAGAGTTAGGGAGGCAACAAAAGTGAGGCTTGTAAATAAAGTCCAGTGTTTTCATCCAATTTAAAAAAAAGAAACAATTGTACATCTTTTACGGGCCCCGGTGACAAATCCACAAAACGCACAGTCACTAACTTTACAGTGTATCCTGTGAAGCGCTTTGAGACGTCTCAACGATGTGTCAAATGCGAGGATTATTGTTATTATTATTGCTGGAGTCCTACAGCTCAGTGGTTAGAGCACTCAGCTCGCAAGCCTTTTGATTCCCGGCAGGGCGAAACCTTTGGTAAATTTCCTTACTCCAATCGTCTAATAATAATCCCTCAAGAAAAAAAATAAAAATAAATTGGTCACTTAATCCACGACTGTTTGTGGGATACTGCGTTTCGTCCACAAAATATGCAGTCAAAATGCTTTACAGTATATTCTGTGAAGCGCTTTGAGTCGTCTTGAAGACATGATAAGGTGCGATATCAAATGCAAGGATTATTATAACAACCTGCCCTCTGGTGTGTGTTCGGTTGCAGACCGGCGGCGGAGGAGATACCATTTGCCGAATGGAGAGCTTTCTCTCAGTCAACAGAATCCCTGACCCACCACACAAAGCAAGCCACGGAATCAACTGAGTCCCTCACGGATGAAGGTGAGAGTGATGGAGGGGATGGGGGGGGATGGAGTGCATAGGGAGTGGAGGAGGGCAGGCTCCCTGCAGTGATGGGGGAAAGGAGTTGACCCTTGGGCGGGGAGAGGGTTCAGCCATGAGCAGTGGCTGAGGACATGTGATAGCATTACCCCCACCCCCTGGAGCTGAGGAGATCAAGCTGTTTAGGGATAACGAAGGGAATTGAAAGGCTGAGTGCTGGGGTGGGGGGGAATGAGTCTTCCCTCTGGTAGAGAGAATGTAGATCCAGATCAAGGGGAGGTTGTATTTCAATGGGAGCTGACCTCTTCCCCCCGTCGCAGGTACAGATGTGATGGACGGGCAGCTCATGGGAGAGTTCGAGCCGGACGCCAAAGAGATGGAGGCCGACTCCTGGAGTTTGGTGGTCGAGAGCAAGTTTGTTCATCAGCACAAAAAGGAAGTCATCAAGCGGCAGGACGTCATTTACGGTGAGATCGCTGGTGGCCGACGTGGGGTGGGGAGGGGGATTGTCGGGGTTTTCCTGATTGGTTGCTTGTTTGGTTGTTTACACACCCACTTGACAAACCTGCCTCCTCCAGGGACACAGCCCCTTCGCCTCGCCCCCTCCCTCGTCTCCGTCAAGGCCCGTCTCAAGACCTTCCTTGATCGCGCTTTCAATCATCCTCCTACATCCTGCCCTCCATCACTCCTCATCACAATCCCCAGCTTGGGTCCAAATCCCTGACTATCCAGCACCTTGGGGCGTCCTCCCGACGTGAAAAGCGCCGTGTAAATATAACTTGTTATTGGTGGTGTTGGTCTTAACCCTTTGTGATGAGCCAGAGAGTCTTTCATTCTTAGACTGAGTTACCCATCTGACCATGAACTGTGGAAAAGGTCTTAAACGCAGTGTGAATTTGTCAGCGGGATGTGTTTAAATAGCTGGCCTGGGAATGCTCTTCGGAGTGAAGACTCGATGGGGTGTTAGGACTCTGACCCACTCCGGTGAAGGGCTGTGGTTCCCTCTCTCTCTCCCTGTGGGCGCGAGGCACTGACTGATAGTGATTGTGTCTCCGCAGAGCTGATGCAGACGGAGATGCACCACTTGCGGACACTGAAGATCATGTGTGACGTGTACGTGAAGGGGCTGAGCACTGAGCTGCAGTTGGACGCCCCCACCCTGGAGAGGCTGTTCCCCTGCCTGGAGGATCTCATCGACATCCACAGCCACTTCTTCTACCGCATCCTGGAGAGGAGGAGAGACAGCCTGGCTGCCCCCAGTACCCGCAACTTCCTCATCGACAGGATCGGAGACATCCTCCTCGCTCAGGTGGGGGGGGAGCAGCAAGAGGGAGGGGGGAGCCGAGTGAGGGAGGGGCACCAAGTGAGGGGTGCAAACGCTGAGTGAGGTAGGGTGACGAGCAAGGTGGGTGGGGGGGGTGGTGGTGAATGCTGAACGAGGGGAGGGAGAGCACCCACCTCCCAGATGATCCCAACCCCCAGCTCAGGTCGAAATCCCTGACTGCCTTAACGCCGTGGGACATCCCCCCGACATGAAAGGCGTCGTGTAAATGTACCTTGTTGTTGTTGGGACGTCCTCCTGACGTGAAAGGCGCTTTATAAATGGAATCTTGTTGTTGTTGTTGTTGTGCGCTGTGTTATTTCCCGCTGACCCTGGTGTCCGCTCCTCCCACAGTTCTCTGGTCCCAGCGCCGAGCGGATGAAGAAAACTTACGGCAAGTTCTGCGGCCGACACAATGAGGCCGTCAACCTGTACAAGGACCTGCTGAACCGAGACAAGCGCTTCCAGACCTTCATCAGGGTGGGTATCCCTCCCCTCAGCCCCCTCACACGACATGTGTTAGTGTGTGTGTTAAACTGTGTGTGTGTGTAAATGTGTTGTAAACGTGTGTGTGTGTTACACTGTGTAAACGTGTGTGTGTGCCCCCATGTTGAGCCCTTGCTGACTGCCGCTGTGTGTCTTCTCTCTTCGGTGTTTTGCAGAAGAAGATGAGCAGCGCAGTGGTCAGGCGGCTGGGCATCCAGGAGTGTATCCTGTTGGTCACACAGCGCATCACCAAGTACCCCGTCATCGTGCAGAGAATATTGCAGCACACCAGAGGTAAGTTAGCCGGCCCGGCCCTCACACTGCCTGCTCTCTGGCTTTCTCCATCCTCCCCAATGCTCCCAAGCGAGAGTTCGCGGTTTCCTCTGTCCCTGTGCGCTCAGTCCTGTGCAGTAACTTTCAATCATTTTAATAATAATAATCCTGGCATTTGACACAGCGCCTTACCACATCATTGAGACGTCTCAAAGCACTTCACAGGATACACTATAAAGTGGAGTGACTATGTATTTTGTGGGCGAAACAATATGCAATGTGGAGCCGAGGCTGGGGGAAGGTGGGGGGGGTGGGGGGGCGGGAAGGAGATTCCCGCTGTGTTTGGGGGTTGAGCCCTGATCTCCACTCCCCATCACAGAGAGCGAGGAGGATCACCCAGACTTGACCCGAGCCCTGACCTTGATCAAGGAGGTGATCGCTGCTGTGGACAACAAGGTCAGCGAGTATGAGAAGAAGTCCAGGCTGAACGAGATATACAGCCGGACGGAGACCAAAGCCATCATGAGGATGAAGAGTGGCCAGATGTTTGCCAAAGAGGACATCAAACGCAGGAAGCTGGTGCATGACGGCCCAGTTACACTCAAAGCTGCAACGGGAAGGTTAAAAGGTGTTTATACCAGCGGCTCTTTACAGCAATCACCGGATTAAAGAATAAAGGAGATGCCACTGTCCTGAGTTCAGGCCCCAAACCCTGCTGTCGGCTGATCACACCTGGCTCCAGTGGGGGAGCGAGCACCAGCACAGACACGATGGGTGAATGGCCTCTGTGTGTTGTGTCCTCTCTAACGCTCTTGTTTCTCACTGACAGAGGTCCAGGCTGTGCTGCTGTCTGATGTTCTACTGTTTCTTCAGGAAAAAGATCAGAAATACACCTTCGCTTCACTGGTGAGCCCCGATTCCTCTCCTGCGCTCGGGGAAGCCTGCGCTTGTGCCTGTGTGTGAAGGTGGGGGTATTATAATAATAATACTTGCGTTTGATATAGAGCCTTATCATGTCTCGAAGCGCTCCACAGAATATACTGGAAAGTGGATTGACTGTATTTTGTGGGCAGCAGCCGATTGCGCACAGCAGCGTCCCACAAACAGCCGAGGATTGAGTGGCCATTTTTTTTTGGGTGGTGGTGGGTGGGGGGGGGAGGTTATTACCCCCAAAAAAGCGCTCTGCCAATTGACTGACAATCGGGTTCCTGCTTACTGCTGGGTAAACATGCGTGTGGAGTAAGGAAACTTACATGAGGCTTCTCCCTGCCTGGGAATCGAACCCAGGTCCTCTCGCTTTGCGAGGCAAGACTGCACAGGCAGGGTTAGGGTTAATGGTGACTGGAGTTGACGTCTGCGTGTGCCGCTGTGTGTTGGCAGGACCAGAAGGCCACGGTGGTGCCTCTGCAGAAGCTGCTGGTGCGGGAGGTGGCTCACGAGGGGAAGGGGCTGTTTCTGATCAGCGCCGCCACCAAGGAGCCCGAGATGTACGAGCTCCACGCCAGCTCCAAGGAGGAGAGAACCACCTGGATACACATCATCCAGCAGACAGCCAGCAACATGTGAGTCTCCGAGCATACCACACTGCCCCAGCCCGGGCACTCGCGAGGGTGGGGGCTGGGGGGGTGATGGGGTTGGCAGGGGGTTGGGTTGTGCTTGGTGGGGAGAAAAGCGGGGGCTTTCTGCTGGGAGTTGTATTTACCGGAGCTGTTATTATCACAGGGGCCAGGACGAGGACGAAGGCATCCCCAGCGAGTCTGAGGAAGACAAAAGGCAACTGGAGACCAAAGCCCGAGAGCTGAGAGGTACTGCACTGGGTGGGGGGGCTCTGGGGGGTGGGACTCCAGGGGTGTGTTATCTGTATCAACCCTATGTGTGCCTGTGTTGATTGGTAACATGTCAAGCAACAGCCAGGATGGTGGGAGGGGAATTGGATGGACCTTGGTCTTCTCTCGCCAGCATGTTCTGACGGGATTCACTCACTGTCCCACAGAGAAGCTGCAGGAGCGGGATCAGCAGATCGTGTCGCTGCTGGAGGAGAAGCTGAGGATTTTTGGGGAGATATTAGATAGCAGCGGGCACGAGGAGGCCACTCGTGTCCTCAACAACAACAGCGTCTACTTCAGGGCTAACCCTGAGGCCGTGCCCAGGGGAGATGCACTAATGAGCGACGCTCTCAAAGAAGGTCAGTCTGGTCACTTTGCTCTCCATCTCTCCCTCTTCTCTCCCTTCCCTCACCCTGAGCCCTGTGTGGTTGAGGAGGTTGTGCATGTAGATAAGAGGATACACTGAGCTTACCTGTATTCACGGATGTCTTCCCACCCCCCCACCTCTCTCTTCCCCCAGTGGAGACGCTACAGAACCTGCTATCCATGGGCTTTGCCGGAGCGATCAGCCAGCCGCTGGCGGAGACGGAGACGGGCACTGGCCACGTGTCCCTACCCCGGCGAGCGGAGACCTTCGGGGGGTTCGACAGCCACCAGATGAGTGCGGCCAAGAGTAAGCTTCAAACCGCACGGCGTTCCCACTAAACCCTGGCGTTCCCACTAACCCCCCAGCGTTCCCACTAACTCCTCGGCCTTCCCACTAACCCTTCGGCGTTCCCACTAACCGCTACAATGGGAATTTGAGAGAAGAAGCTATCTGAAGGGGGAATGGTGCTGAGGATGGGATATGTGGAGTCCTGTAGCTCAGTGTTAGAGCACTCGCTTTACAAGTGAGAGACCTGAGTTCAATTCCAGGCAGAGGGCGAAACCTTGGGCAAGTTTCCTAACTCCACACAGAGCCTAATAATAATCCCTCCAAAACAGAATAATAATAAATTGGTCATTTTCAATCCACGACTGTTTGTGGGACATTGCTGTGCGCAATTGGCTGCCGCGTTCGCCCACAAATATACAGTCAATTCACTTTACAGTGTGTTCTGTGAAGCGCTTTGGGACGTCCTCCCGACGTGAAAAGCGCTATATCAAATGCAAGGATTATTATTATTATTAAAGGGCATCCCCTGTGGGGAGGGGAGGGAGCTGCATGTGTGGAGTTCATTGCTGAGCAGACGTCTCTTGTTTTCGACAGATGGAGAGAAGGAGGAAGTGGAGGATGGGCAGGATCTGCGCAGGACAGAGTCGGACAGTGTCTTAAAGAAGGTGAGAGGCCGAGGGTGGGGCGGGGTGGGGGGGAGGGGGTGTGGGCAGCGACAAACAGCTTGCATTTATATAGCACCCCTCAGGCAGGGTAACCCCCTCAGATGACATGAATAGGTGGGGGGGAAATCTTTGGGAACAATGTAGAGTTCCGAGGTACCTGTTTCCCCCCCAACGCCCACAATCTTTCCCCCCCACCCTTGAGAAACCTTGAGTGTAGAAGAATTAGAGGGGATCTTATAGAAACCTATAAGATCATCAAAGGGCAATGATAGAGTAGATAGCGGGAGATTGGAGAAACTAAAACCAGGGGTCACAACCTTAAAATCAGAGGCAGCCCTTTCGCACTGAGTTGAGGAAGAACTTCTTCACTCAAAGGGCAGTGAATGTTTGGAACTCACTGCCCCAAAGGGCTGTTGACGCTCCGTCCTTGGACATTCAAGACTGAGAGAGAGAGATTTCTTATTGCGAAAGGGGTTAAGGGATATGAGGAGAAGGCGGTGTCCGGTTATTAGCTGGAGTTAGATTAGCAGATCAGTCATGATTGAATGGCGGGGCAGAGGCTCGAAGGGCCGAATGGCCTCCTCCTGCTCCTCCATGTTATGTTTGGTTGAGCTGATTGCTCTGGGTCTGACCTGACACACTGCGCCCGCCAGTGGCCGGTATCTGCAGTTACCTGGTTCCCACTGTTCACACACAGAGTAACCTGATTGATGGTGTGTGTGTCTCTGTCTCTCTCTCTCTCTCTCTCTCTCTGTCTCTCGGTTTAAAAATACAAAGATGTTTAATGTAGTTTCTCGTCACCTCGGAGATGGAAATGCTGAGCCGGTCACATCCGGAGGGACAGCGCGTGTGTTGCCAGGGTTGCGGGAGCGTGCTTAGCCGTGCGTGTGACACGTCTGAACGTGTTTGATTTTTCGCAGGGAGGGAACACGACTGTATTACTGCCGCTCCGGAAAAACGAGGTAAAGTTACCCCCACGAGGGGGGCAGAGGGAGTGGGGGGAGCAGGTAGCCGCTCCCCTCCCTCCCCCCTCCAACGTACATACACGTACACCCACGCACACTTACTTGTACACACTCAGACACCCGTGCACTCTCTCACACTCGCTCTCACTCCTGCACCTTCACCCTCTCGCTCGCGCTTTCTCGTACACATAATCGCTCACTCACATGCGCACACTCACTCGCTCTTACACACACACTCTCTCACACACACTCACACGCAAACACACACTTGCACGTACTGTCTCTGTCTCTCTCTCTCACACCCTCTCTTCGCTGTGACTGTTTGTTACTGTCTGACACCTGCTCTTCGTTGTACAGTTGGTGCTACACAAGGTGCTGAGTCTGAATCAGCTGCTGCACAGATTACAGGTACGTCATGGCTGCCAGGTTCTCGGGCTTAATGTTGGGTGTTGACCTCGATCTGTCTTGTCTCTCGATCTAGAAACATAGGAACAGGGGGAGGCCATTCAGTCCCTCAAACCTGTTCCGCCATTCTATAAGATCATCGCTGATCTGTACTTCAACTCCAATTACCCGTTCTCTCTCACTCTCTGTCTGACTCCCTTTCTCTCTCTCTCCCTCTCTCTCTCTCTCAGGCTGTGGTTGTGCAGCAAGACACGTATATTGAGGACCAGCGCCAGGCTGTGAGCGAGCGGGCTGAACGTGGTGCCCGGCTCCCAGGCCGGCCCAGTTCTCTGGTGGAGCAGGAGAAACAGCGGAGCCTGGAGAAGCAGCGTCAGGAGCAGGCCAGCCTACGCAGACAGCAGACACAGCACCAGGAGGAGCGGCGACGCTGGGAGAGGGAGTGGGACGTGCGGCAGCAGGAGCTGGCCGACAGGGAGACCGTCGTGGCCGGCAGGGAGAGTGAGGCGACTCGACTACACAGGGAGGCTGAGCGGGAGAAGACCGAGCTCCAGCTGAGGAAGGAGGAGTATCAGCAGGACCTGGAGAGGCTCAGGGCCGCACAGAGGCAGTTGGAGAGGGAGAGAGAGCAGCTCAGGAGGGAGCAAGAGCAAGCGAGGGAGCAGAGGCCCGGCAGCCTGTCACACACCGACTCCATCACGTCACAGGTACACGGCACAGGCAGCAATGTGTCCGCCTGTTACACCCCGGCGATGTCTCCCACATAATGGGACGCCGATGGGCGCAATTGGCTGCTACTTTTTGCCCACAAATATATACAGTCACCACACTCCACAGTGTATCCTGAGGAGCGTTTTGAGACATCTCAACGGCGTGATGAGGCGTTGTATCAAACGCGAAGATTATTATTATTATTATTGGGAAAGATAAGGGAGTTTCCCTTTCCCGATGCCCAGCCGACGATGCCCCAGATAGACTCGGTCGTTCAGTCTCTGCTTCTGTGAGGCACGTACGTTGCTGTGGGCGAACCGGCTGCAGCTTCAGCCCATAAGCCATCTTCACAAGGGATTCCCTGCAAGGAGCTTTGATGTGCTTTGACGTGTCAGGCTCCGTGTGGGAATACAGTGGGCATTATTGTTGTTGTTGTTATTACCATTTATTATGCTGTTGTGTGATCTTTGCTCTCGTGCCTCTCTAGGCCTCAGACCTGCAGAGTGACAGCTCAGGAGAATCTCCCACACAGGGCAACGCGTGTCCAGTGACGTTTCCCTCAGCTTCCCCCCTCCCTGCCGGCGTTCCCAAAGCCAAGGGGTCGGAGCCGCCGCTCGCACAGAAGGAGATGGACACGGCACAGGGCAAAGGGAAGAGCGGCTGCCAGAGCCCGGCAAACCCCATCCCCCCGCGGTTACTCAAACTGGCCAAGTCTAAGAAATCCAAACACCGGAAAGGCAAAGGGCATCGCCCCGGGAACTCACCCTCCGAGCTGAATCCAGGTGGGTGAGGAGAGGAGAGTTTAATGTGGGCCGTGGGCGGCTGGGGCGGGGGCTCGTGTGTCAGTGACACCCGGGGGGGAGAGGTGTGTGTGGGGGGGGCACAGCCCAGGCCGGCCTGTGACTGAAAGTGAGCGTTTGTTTGATAACCATAGCACCAGATGGAGGCCACTTGGCCTATTAAGCCTCACCTGGCCTCTGGGAGAGCAATCCGTTCAGTCCCCCCCACCACCCACACTACACACACACGCACACACCACAAACACGCATACGCTATTTTATTCTATTTGCTGTAATTGCCTATTTAAAGCTGCTGTGGATTGCGCTCTCTGGTGGACGGGTGGGCATTTCCGTGTCCCAGTCTACCTGCAGTGTACCTGCTCTTATTGTCCTCCGCGCTCTCGCGTATCCGTGGGGGAGCGGGAACCAGGCCACCGATGCCCTCACCAGCTGAGACACTGACCGCTCGCTCTCTCTCCTCTCCAGAGGCCCCCGGCAGCCAACACTCACCAGTGACACCGGACGGCACGGCACTGATCAAAGGACCGAATTCATCAGCTTCACCGGCCACCGATTCACTGAGCAGCGAAGAGGTTTTCTACTGCTGAGCAGCAACGTGTCAGACTGTGTCGGACTGTCAGACTCCAGCACAAACTGGGGAGCAGAGGGGAAGTCCTTGAAAGAGGGGTTGTGTAGGTAGCGACCAGTGACCGTTTGTCTCTGGGTGGGTGGGGGGGAAAGAAACGAGGGGGTCAGGGCACCCACACTGAGCGCTGTGTGTCCTCACCGCGCTCTCTCTCTCTTTCACACTAATATTGAGAAATTGGAATCAAGGAACCTGTGTGAATTGAGTGGACGCAGTGAGCAATCAGCTTCGGAGAGCGAGGGATTGGAAACCCAGCTGTCAGACGGATGAAAGTCCTGGTTTGAGTGTCTCTGGGTCAGCAGAGAGCTCTCTGAGAGGACGTTTTGGTTGAAAGGCTGATGGGTTTGATGGGATTGGGGTGGATTGGACATTGTTTGGTGTAAAGTCAGGTCGGCTCGCGACACAAACTGAGCGGCCAACGTATTTTGTTATTGGGCAGTGTGTGCGTGCGTGTCACGGCTGCAAACCGGTCACTCCCTCCCCGCGACACGATAATTAACCCCTTCACGACTCTCTAGCGACTTGGATCGCCAAACCCAACCTGAAGGGTTGCATGTCTGTGATGATGGCGGGGGCGAGGATTCCTGGCTTCAGCAGGTCGTGTTTGGCGATGAATTGTGAACAGAATCCCGCTCGCGATCTGAGGTGTAAATAGAATGAATTGAATGTTAATAATAAATGTGGGGAGGGGGGTGTATCTCATTCCCTGGGGGGGTGGGGAGTGGGGGGGAGAAGGAGAGGGAGGCAGGGAGGGTCACCTGCTTTGGGAATAGGAGGCATTTTGTCCTTTTAACAACTTACATTCAAACGTTAAAAGGTTTTGAAGGATCCACGGATCCAGGCACGACTGGTCTGAACCCGGTGAGGATTTTTATTGGTTGTGAATTGGGAACAATATTTTTAAAAATCTTAAATAAGAAAAAAATCATCTCATTTGTAATATCAGGCGGAGGGGGTGGATATATGTCTATTACCCCAATGCCACCCCTCCACCCCCCTGCCCCATCCCACAGGCCAGTTCAGCCGGTGCCCCTCACCAGTGAGCAGGTCAGTCACGGTGACGGACGGATGAACAGGAACCGCGCAAACTGGGGGAGCCATCAGCACAAGCCTCGGAGCTCACTCCCCACCCCCACTCGCCCTCCCTATCACTTCACTGCCCCAGAGAAGATAACCTCAGCAGTCGGTTTCCCTGATCTCTGCAGCCTCTTAGTTACTGTTTCCAAGGGTCATTCGCACCGTTTGCACTCAATTGTTTGTGGTCACTTTGTGTTGATTGTTAAAGCCGGGTCCAAATAGTCCAAAAACACAGTTGCACAAGGTTTCTGTAAGTCAAGCTCTTTCGGTTACCAATGATATACTAATGTACATGTTACCACGTTACCACTGGGGGGGGGGGGGGGGAATGGAAGGGTTGGAATTGTTTTTTCTTGGTTAAAATCTCAAATTAATGGTGACTCAATGGGAAAGAACTTTTTTCAGGGGGAGGGGTGGGGGAGGGGAAACAATTTGATGTTCTTGCCTCCCCTTCCCCCCAGGATGCCTCCCCCCCCCCCCCCCCCCCCCCCACACACACACACACACACGTACGCACACAAACCTGTGGACAAATTTGGAAGCGTTTGGTGTTAAGATGCCCCAAGACCGTTAGTCTGTGCTAACCCCCTTAGTACAGGATAGCGAAGCCATTCCATCTGTACCTCACTCGTCAACCAATACCTGAGACCAGGGACACTTCATATAACCCTACAGACAGAGAGACAGACAGACAGACAGAGAGACAGACAGACACACAGAGAGACAGACAGACAGACAGACACACAGACAGAGAGACAGACGGACGGACGGACGGTGACAAGTTTGGTTTCTGTTCTGACAACAGCCGATGGGACTGATTTCACACTATCCTCTCCCTGGGACCCCCACATCAGAGATCAGATCCGATCTCCGGGAATATATTATTTTTTTATTTTTTTTTTGAAAATGAACTGCTTCGAGAAACGCAAGTTGTATTTTGCTGAAATTCTGTAAAAAAAAACTATAAACCAAACAAAAAAAAAATTATTTTAAATATCTATGGTGTAATTAATGTATAAAAAAAAGCGAGCCGCAAAGCGTAAAGCCTTGCGGGGAGGGAGAGCGTTTCCCAGACCGGCCCGGGTATTGGGGTGTTTTTTTTTTGTAAGTAAATTTTTATTTATCATCCGTTAACCTCTGTTGATTTCAGGCAATAAACATTTACACATTAGAGAAATCGCCGGAGTTTGTGCTGTTCCTTCATTCTTTTTATCAGGCGATCAGAAACATTTGGTCGCTCCAACCCGCGACTGCCTTGCGGGCACGTCGCCGGGCGCAATGGGGCTGCCGCGTTTCGCCCGCAAGACGAAACAGTCACTACACTGTACAGTATGTCCTGTGAAGCGCTTTGAGGCGTCGCGACGACGGGATCAGGCGCCGGGTCGAACGCCGCGATTATTAAGATTATTGTAATTGTTATCGATCCTTGAGTTCGGTTTCAGTGCCGAAAACATCCAACGTCTCAAAAGCGCTTCCCCGGATTTGGTGGTGTGTTGGGGCCAGTGATCCCCTGAGGGTCTGTGCCGCGTCCTGACAACCGCCATCAGCCACTCAGTGAACCGAGACCGAGACCACAGCAAAGGCTCCGGCACCGGCACCGGCACCGGCCACAGGGAACACGGTGCCGCTTGTGATCTTAACTGATTGGTTGATCGATTGAATGATGTATTGACTGATTGATTGATGGATTGATTGATGTATTGATTGACTGATTGATTGACTGATTGATTGATGGATGTATTGACTGACGGACGGACGGATTGATGATTGTATTGATGATTGTATTGATGATTGTATTGATGATTGTATTGATGATTGTATTGATGATTGTATTGATGATTGTATTGATGATTGTATTGATGATTGTATTGATGATTGTATTGATGATTGATGTATTGATTGGTTGATGGTAGGGATTACTTTGCGGTAATGAAGGGAATGAAATACAAGAGGACCTGAATACTCTGTGGGTGTGGGGGCCACTGGGGGCGCTGTGGGTGTGAGGGGCCACTGGGGGCGCTGTGGGTGTGAGGGGCCACTGGGGGCGCTGTGGCTGTGAGGGGCCACTGGGGGCGCTGTGGCTGTGAGGGCCACTGGGGGCGCTGTGGCTGTGAGGGCCACTGGGGGCGCTGTGGGTGTGAGGGGCCACTGGGGGCGCTGTGGCTGTGAGGGCCACTGGGGGCGCTGTGGGTGTGAGGGGCCACTGGGGGCGCTGTGGCTGTGAGGGCCACTGGGGGCGCTGTGGGTGTGAGGGGCCACTGGGGGCGCTGTGGGTGTGAGGGGCCACTGGGGGCGCTGTGGGTGTGGGGGGCGCTGTGGCTGTGAGGGGCGCTGTGGCTGTGAGGGGCGCTGTGGCTGTGAGGGGCCGCTGGGGGCGCTGTGGCTGTGAGGGGCGCTGTGGCTGTGAGGGGCGCTGTGGCTGTGAGGGGCCGCTGGGGGCGCTGTGGGGGCAGAAGGCCGTCGGGGCTGCTCTTGTCCGCGCTTTGCTCTGGTCGGTGGCCGCGTGTCTGCTTCAATGTTACCGGAGGAGAGGGTGAGTGTGAGAGAGGGAGAGAGAGAGAGAGGGAGTGAGAGAGAGGGAGAGGGAGTGAGTGAGAGAGGGAGTGAGAGAGAGGGAGTGAGAGAGAGGGAGTGAGAGAGAGAGAGGGAGTGAGAGAGAGAGGGAGTGAGAGAGAGGGAGAGAGGGAGAGGGAGTGAGGGAGAGAGGGAGAGAGAGAGAGTGAGAGAGAGGGAACGAGAGAGAGAGTGAGAGAGAGGGAGAGAGAGGGAGAGGGAGTGACGGAGAGAGTGACGGAGAGAGAGAGACTGAGAGAGAGAGAGTGAGAGAGAGAGGGAGTGAGAGAGAGGGAGAGAGGGAGAGGGAGAGAGGGAGAGAGAGAGAGTGAGAGAGAGGGAGTGAGAGAGAGAGGGAGTGAGAGAGAGGGAGAGAGGGAGAGGGAGTGAGGGAGAGAGAGAGAGTGAGAGAGAGGGAGTGAGAGAGAGAGGGAGTGAGAGAGAGAGGGAGAGGGAGTGAGAGAGAGGGAGAGAGGGAGTGAGGGAGAGAGAGAGAGAGAGAGTGAGAGAGAGGGAGTGAGAGAGAGAGGGAGTGAGAGAGAGGGAGAGAGGGAGAGGGAGTGAGAGAGAGGGAGAGAGAGAGAGGGAGTGAGAGAGACGGCCCCGGGGCTGTGGTGGGATACACGTGGCAGCAAATGAGAGAGTGACAGACAATGAGAGAGAGAGAGAGTGACAGACAGTGTGAGAGAGAGAGAGTGACAGACAGTGAGAGAGAGAGAGAGAGAGTGACAGACAGTGTGAGAGAGAGAGTGACAGACAGTGTGAGAGAGAGAGAGAGTGACAGACAGAGAGTGAGCACCAGAGGACACCTGTGGAACACACTCAGGTACAGGGGACAGTAATTGCATTCAGAAAAGCTGTTCATGGGCCACTCTGACCAGACCTGACAGACATCGATCCACCTCAGTCTTGACAATTCGCAATTTTCTTGAATATTGGGTTTTTTTCCCCCCCAGAAAACCTGCAGTTACCTCACTAACAGTCAGTGAATCTGATGGTTAATCCGGACTGTGGTCAGAGTATGTCCAGTGAGTCTGAGCAGCCGCCAGACCACGATAGTGGGGCATCGTCAGGAAACCTCTTCCACGGCTTTACCAACTCGGGTCAGTTCCTGTACAGCGCGGCTGGGGCTCGGGCCTGCGACGGTCCGGACACCAGAAGCAGGAGGCGGAAGAAGACGAGCCGGAAGCACACGCGTGTGCAGGAACGTCTGGTTTACCTGGAACGCCAGGGGATCCTGAGGAGGACAGAGCACCGAGGGAGAGCGGGAGCATCTAGTCATCAAGCTGGTGTCAGCCAGACAGACAGCATGGAGCAGCCAGGAAAAGCTGGGAGTTCCGACGAGAACGGGACAGGTTCCACTGACACTGTAAGCTTTCGACTCCCAGTCTGCCCCAGTCCCGTGGTCACTGTCCCTAAGGAGCCAGCAACGACCAAGCTCCTTACCCGCGCCCCCAGCTCGCTCTCAGGACGTCCAGAGCCCCACAAGCTGGTGGCCATTGACTGTGAGATGGTGGGCACGGGCCCTGGCGGGCGCCTGGGGGAGCTGGCCAGATGTAGTGTGGTCAACTACAGTGGGGACGTGATATACGACAAGTACGTCAAACCCCAACTTCCCATCGTGGATTACAGGACCCGGTGGAGTGGTATCCGCAAGGAGCACATGGAGAACGCCATCCCGTTCAGCCTCGCACACAGAGAGGTGAGACTTACTGCATCCGTGCTGTTTATCAGCTGTCTGCTTCAGACTAGTGCTCCAGCACAGTGCTGTGTTGCCAGAGGTGCTGTCCTTCAGATCAATGGGAAACCCATCTGCCTGTTTTTGGAGAAGAGAAGGGAGTTTCTCTCCCGGTGTCCCGGCCAGAAACCCCCAGATAAATTGTTCGCTCCCTTCATGGCTGTTTGCAGGATTTTGCAGTGTGCAAATTGGCTGCAAAATATAGTCACTACACTTGGAGCCCTGTAACTCAGTGGTTAGAGCGCTCGCCTCGCAAGCGAGAGGACCTGAGTTTGATTCCCGGACAGGACGAAACGTTGGGCAAGTTTCCTTACTCCACACACACACACCTCTGTCCACCTTGCAGTAAGTAGGAACCAGTTGTTAGTCGATTGGCAGATCGTTTTTCTGGGGGTAATAATCCCCTCCAAAAAAATAAGAAGAATTTGGTCAATCAATCCACACCAGTTTGCGGTACACTGCTGTGTGCAATTGTAGTAGTCCTGTAGCTCAGTGGTTAGAGCGCTCGCCTCACAAGCGAGAGACCTGGATTTGATTCCCGGCAGAGCGAAACCGTGGGCAGGTTTCCTTACTCCACACACGCGCCTGATAATAATCCCTCAAGAAAAAAAATACTATAATAATTTGGTGACGTCAATCCACGACTGTTTGTGGGGACGCTGTCGTGCGCAATTGGCTGCCGCGTTTCTCCCACAAAATATAGTCAATTCACTTTACAGCGTATCCTGTGAAGCGCTTTGAGACGTCTCGACGACGTGATCAGGCGCTGTATCAAATGCCAGGATTATTATTTTGCGGTTTGCACATTATACAGTCACTGCCCTTGACAAGAATTTCCTGCCATGTGCTATGAGGCATTCATGACTGGGAGGGCGTTAGTTCCTGGGGGTTTTGTTGGTGGTTACGGGAATTGTTGTATATTATTTTCGGATTCAGGTACTAAAGATCCTGAAGGGGAAGGTGGTGGTGGGCCACGCGCTGCACAATGACTTCAAGGCGCTGCGGTATTTCCACCCGCGAGCTCTGACCAGAGACACCAGCAAGATAACCAATTTCAAAAGCATCACTGGCATCACGGGGCACGTGACAGCCTCACTCCGCACGCTCACCAAACTGCTCCTGCACAGAGACATTCAGGTGAGGAACCGCTACGCACTGAAGCCCACAGGGCTCTGAGGCTTGTACCGCGCTCTCTCTCCCTCTCTCCCACTGTCTGTCTGTCTGTCTGTCTGTCTGTCTGTCTGTCTGTCTGTCTCTCTGCTTGTTCTGTCTCTCTCTGTCTCCCTCTTGTACCCGTCTCTCTCTGCCTCCTGTAGCTGGTGAGAAATGCCTGTCGCCTCCTCCTTCCCTCTCCCCCTGGATCGACGTCAGACTCCTCCTCTGTGAAGCGCTGCCCCGCCCGAAGGCCGCTGTATAAATGCAAGTTGTTGTTGTTGCTATTGTTGTACACGTGTCTTGATTGCTCAGGTGGGCAGAAAGGGTCACTCGTCAGTGGAGGATGCCGGTGCCTCAATGGAGCTGTACCGATTGGTGGAGGTCGAGTGGGAGGGGAACGTGTGCGGTCAGCAGGCCCTGCCTCCCGAGACCAGCCCAGGGATTGACCGCTATATGGACGACTGCTATTGGCCTAAGGATCTGAGGGAGGACAGTAAATGAGCAGAGACCAGAAGAGAGAGGCTGATGCTAACGGGAATGGAATACAGGATGTCACAGCCCCGTGTGTTGCGATGTTATTGTCCCTTTTTTTGTGGAGGGAGAGGATCTCGCTTGGCCCACAGATAGTCTGTCTCTCGGCAAGACCAGCCCCAATCCCAGGGCTCCCCCTTCCCCCCCCCCACCAGATGTGTTCAGTACCTATGTCAGAGACGTGGTCTGGGGTGAGGGGCGCTATGTAAATGCAAGTTGTTGTTGTGAAATTAGTTCCAGGCTGTAGTCAATCCAGCTGTCAGCGGGTGGACATGATGCTCCCAGCACATAACGCTCAGAATCCAACACTAAATCAGTGCGATCACGTCAATAAGAGAGGGTGGGGGTGTGGGGGGAGGGTCATCAGAGACAAATGGCAAACAGCTCCAGCGGTTGGGGGTGGGGGGGGCGCCACTGTGCACAATTGGCCGTCCCGTTTCGCCCACAAAATACACACACTGCTAAGAATGGGGAGGAATGGTGCTGAGGCCGAATGGAAGAAGCTTCACTCTGTGTCTGTCTCTGCCATCGCTGACCTTGCAGTGCTTGGTGCTGATTCTGACGGTGTGTATAGGCCGCGGAGCCTGAAAGCAGAGCCTGAAAGCAAACAGTCTGCAGACGAACCGTGTGCCGCTGTTAGAGGCAAAATACAGGGTGTGTGGTGTGATAACTGTCACGTACCACATTCCCACCCATTGGTCGCTCCTCTGGTGATACCCGCTGATGGATAATGGTGCTAATAGGTCAAACACTGACTACGTTTCTGTCTAATTCCCAATGTTACGGAGAAGGCTAGACTTACCAGAGTTTGTGTGTGACTCCCCCACCCCCCCCCACCCTCCCCGCCGCCCCCCAACTCCCCCCTCACGTGACATCATGCGTTATGGGTAGGATTCCCCATTCATGATGTCACAGGGAGGGGGAGAGGGGAGGAGGATCTTCTACTCCAGATGTGGCCTGTGGCTGCCTCCGAGCAGCAGTGAACAGCAGCAAATTGAGGCATGAGCACGACACTGGTAAGCAGGCGGATAGCTCCCATTTCAGTCTCGCAGACGCCTCAAGCTCTCAGTTTGTGAGTGTTCAAAAGTGCTGCCCAGTTTATAAAATGTAACTTATAATGCTAGCTTTGGGTTATTTCCAACTGTTAATTCTGGGCGTCGCGTTCGTAGGGAAATTCACGGCCAGCTCTTGTGGGTGAAGTGGTTTCTGTGAAATAACTACAATCCCCCTATTGTCTGTAAGCGACAAAAACTTGACAGACGCATTATAGGTATTATAGGAAGGAACAATGAAATTTGACAGCAGGTATTTCCCTTCGATATTTTCCCTGAATTCCTCTTCAGTCAGAGCAACGTTTGAGACACTTGTTTGCTCGGCTGTGTGCACAATGTAATACATCTTCCGTCCCTTTCCGCCTCCTTGCCCTCCCACCCCCTAAAACAAAAATTGGTCACTCAATCCACGACTCTTTCGCCCACAAAATACACAGTCAGTCACACTTCATAATATATTCTGTCTCATCAGCATGATAAGTAAGTTGTTAATCAAATGCAAGGGTAATTATACTGTTGTACTATTACATCAGTATGATAATGGTGTCTTTCAGTATGTACACTGCTTAGTCAGGGTGGTTGATGCTGTGTGTTCTAAGTCTGCGTTCTCTGTGTTCTATCAGTGCTTGTCAACAACAACAACTTGCATTTATACAGCACCCCTCACGCAGAATAGTGTCCCAGAGCGTGAGCTTTGTCTCTCGGATGCACCTGGTTTTGCTAACCCTTCCTACCCTCTCATCTCATGCCCCCCACTCCCCACGTCAAAACAGACTCGGCCTTTGTTAATCTGGTTCTGTGCCTGACACTGTGCTGTTTAAGCGCTCCAGGACGCTACCCCAAGTGACGGACATTATATAAATGCAAGTTGTTTACAGCGAGAGAACAACGTGAACAAGGTGCTATTAGGTGTAAAACTATCAGGAATGGGTTGACCCAGACACTCAAATGCCAGGAATGTGAAACTAAAAGGCTGACATCACAGTTGGCATTGGTATAAATGTCTCTAAAGGTTGCTATAACCACAGGAGCAGTTAGAGGGCTTTAATCTCAATAGCCTTTGGCTGAATTCCACTTGATTTGCTCAGAAATAATTGAACTGGGCGTAAGAATATTCACCGGTCTAAAGTGCAGAATCTATTAAGATTAAGAATTTATTAAGAATTTATAAGATCTAATGAGTAAGTTACTGTTCCTCGTGAGAGAGGTCAGGGCAAGGTTGAGGTCAATTTTGAACGTTTTTGTGCAATAAATGTCGTTCTAGAACTTGTTGGGTGTTTTATTTAAAATGTGGTTTATCCTAAACGTCACAAAGTATGTGATATTTACACCAACCAGATCCCGTTTCACACTCATGTTTGAGATGGGATCTTTGGACACCAGTTACTGGTGTTAGGTCAGAGCGTGTGTGGTATCCTGTACTGTGTGTGGCCCTGGTCTCTGGCTAAGTGAGGCCACTCACATTGTGCCAGGGCTGGAGCTGAAGCTAATGCCCTCGTCTTGTCCTGACCTGACCTGACCTGCCAGACACTGTACACCAAGTGGTGGAAGTCAATCACCATTTGGTCTGCAACACAAGTGTGGAATCTAATTGACAAAGCACTTTGCAGGGCGTTGCTGCCGAGTGTAGTGACTGTATATTGTGGCCAAGCGCAGCAGTCAATGTGCTTGGGGCCCAGCAAAGTCTTTTCCTCCAAAGGTACTGACTCGAGCTGAGAGATGGTTCCACAGACACCGAACTGGGGCAGATGAAATTTAATGTGGAGAAATGTGAAGCACTTCACATGGGGACAAACATTCCTGGAAGGGACTGTTATTTCAACGGAAAGAAAATAATATGTATGGAACATGAAAAGGACCAAATGATTGAGGGAATGGAAGGACTGGACTGTGAGGAGCGACTAAACAAATTGGGCATGTTCACACTGGAAAAGAGAAGATTGAGAGGCGACATGATTGCTGTCTTTATTAAGATTCTAAAGGGGCCAAACAATATAGATCATGTCAGGCTGTTTCAACTTGTCCAGAATAGTAAAAACCAGATGACACGGCCTGCGATTGAAGGCAGGTAAACTCAGAACAAATCTACGCAAACGCTACGTCAGTGAGCGAATAGTGAACCTGTGGAACAGGCTCCCGAGGGAGACGGTCGAAGCAGGAAATGTTGATTCTTTCAAACACAGATTGGATAGTTTTCTTTCAGGCAATAACATTATGGGATATAATACATAGGTAGTTCGGGACATATGTACATGGGACCGCCAGGAAGGTGGAAGGCCAACTAGATAGACCTCGGTTTTTTTTATCCAGTATTTCTTATGTACCTTCCTTCTCCTTTTCCAAGTGCCTCTTCTATAATTCCCTTTACAGTGTATACTGTGAAGCGCTTTGAGACGTCTCAAAGGCGTGATAAGGCGCTGTGTCAAACGCAAGGATTATTATTATCATGAACACTGTAGCCTTGATTGCTGCTGGGGCTGGGATCATCTGATTTAACATGGAGCTGGGGACTGAACTTGAAACTTTGTGCTCTATATGGCATGGTTTCACACCAGGGGAATGAATCATTCGCTCCCGGTTTAGGGGGAAAAGAAGAAGATACGATACCACTGCTGCGTTTCACCCACAAAATACAGTCGCTTCACTATACAGTCTATTCTGTGAAGCACTTTGAGACGTCTCAAAGATGTGATAAGGCGCTGTATCAAATGCAAGGTTATTATTATTAATATTATTATTACATTCACCGTAACAGGAAGCAGCTTTCAAAAAATACTGTCCTGAATGGTGGGTGCGACTCCCAATGCGTTCATTGCCAAGAGTTTTGGGGAGGAGGTACTTACTGAGTCACAGGGGACAAGACTGAACACCTGAGTTGTTTACCTGCTCGCTTGGTCACCCTGGTGAGCTGGTTACCTGACCCAGAGCGGTGGAGAGTCCCAGCTCATAGCTTCTGAGGTCAGCACAGCTGCCACTCCACACGCATGTGGGGTTCCAGTGAACGAACGAATGTCAGCGTGAACCGCTAATCTAACCTGCCACCTTTACCCACACCCACTTCAAACCAGAGCAAAAAAAAAGGGACTTCAGTCTCTGCTGAATTTGCATTCTGTTTATTTACAGGGACACTTGCAGGAAACAAGTGACGCACTCGAACTAAGCAAACTGGGGGGGGGAGGGGTGGGGGGGAGGAAATCGTATACAGACTGGAAATCTGCCGTGTTGATACGAGAAGGACAGAGTTCTCTTGCTCCGGGACTGGAAGATGTTGAATCCTTTGAAGTACGTTGCCATGGACTGTGAGATGGTGGGAATGGGTCCTTCAGGCACTGAGAGTGGGCTGGCTCGGTGCAGCATCGTCGATTACAATGGAAGAATCGTCTATGATAAATTTATTAAACCAGATGGGAAGATAACGGATTATAGGACGCCCGTGAGTGGTATTCGTCCATCGAATATGGAAACTGCCTCTCCTTATCACACGGCCAGGGAGGAGGTAAGACTTTTACCGTCATTCCCAGGCAGGGCGAAACGTTGGGCAAGTTTCCTTACTCCACACAAATGCCTCTGTTTACCAGCAGTAAGTAGGAACCCAGTTGTTAGTTGATTGCTGGATCGCTTTTCCAGGGGTAATAATCCCCCAATCAACAAATAAATAAATAAATAATAATCATTTGGTCACTAAAATCCACGACTGTTTAATAATAATAATCCTTGCATTTGATATAGCGCTTTTCACGTCTTCTCAACATCTCAAAGCGCTTCACGGAATAGACTGTAAAGTGAATCGACTGTATATTTGTGGGCGAAACGCGGCAGCCAATTGCGCGCAGCAGCGTCCCACAAACAGTCGTGGATTGAAGTGACCAATTTATTATTATTATTAATTATTAATTATATTTTATTATATTATCTTTCTTGAGGGATTATTATCAGGCGTGTGGAGTAAGGAAACTTGACCAAGGTTTCACCCCCTGCCGGGAATCCTATCCGGGTCTCTTGCTTGTGAGGCGAGTGCTCTCACCACTGAGCTACAGGACTCCACAATTGTGGGACGCTACTGTGCGCAAGTGGCTGCCGCGTTTCACCCACAAAATATACGGTCAATTCACTTTACAGTATATGCTGTGAAGGGCTTTGAGATGTTTCGAAGACGTGATAAGGCGCTGTATCAAATGCCAGGATTATTATTATTATCTATCTCCCTTTTAAAGATCCAAATTGATCCTGCCTTTCTCGAGGCACTCTCACAAACCTCCGGGTGAAGAAATATTCTCTGCTCTGGTATTTAAGAGGCTTAGCTCTGGTTATAAAGGTTATGTTTCCCTGGTTTGGATTCTACGTCTGTCATTCTACACCAGTGCAGGTTATTGATGATGGATTTAGTGCGTATCTAGGGGCGGAAATAAAAACATATGCAAAGCAAACCAGGAAACGGAGGAGGCTGCGGTGCCACTCACCTGCTGAGACGGTCTGCCTCTTTGGCCCCCACTGACTCTCAGCTCTGCTGAGGCCATCCTTCACACGGCCTGAACCCCCTCCCTCCCCACTCTCAAATCCCACCTAAAGACCTTCCTTTCTGATCCTGTTTACGGTCACCTCCCCTCCTCCCTCTCTCCCTACCACCGGCTCGGCCTCAGACTCTGCCACTGTCAAGCGCCCCCCGGGACTCTACCCCGCGTGAAGGGAGCTATATAAACACGAGTTGTTGTTCTTGTTGAACTAACCAACACTCGTGGTTTTCGGTTCAGATCCTGAAGATTCTGGAAGGAAAGATAATCGTGGGCCACGACCCCCGGTCAGACTTCCACGTCCTGAAAGCCGACATCTCACAGTATGAAGTGAGGGATACGTCCTCGTGTGGGCTGCTGCTGTCCAAAGCCCGGCTACAGACCGATCGACGGGCCTCACTAAAGAGACTCTGCCACAACCTGCTGGGGAGAAGGATACAGGTAAAGAGCGTCCGCCTCCTCCACAGGCAGGGACAGGGGTGGCCAGGCCGATGGGTCGGCCCAACAAATACAATTTCTTGTCTTGAGTGTTTCTCAGTTTATTAAATCCTTCAAAAAAAAATTGGTCACTTCAATCCCCCGGGGGCCGTTTGTGGGACGGACGCTGTCGTGCGCAATTGGCTGCCGCGTTTCGCCCACAAAATGTACAGTCAATTCACTTTACAGTGTATCCTGTGAAGCGCTTTGAGACGTTGCAAAGATGCGATCAGGCGCTGTATCAAATTCAAGGATTATTATTATTATTATTATTATTATTATTGCGCTGGGTGGGTGGGGGTGGGGTCACAGTCCAGCCGATGGGAAGAATGCTGCACTTGCCCCGGCTGTATCACATTATAATGTATTATTGGTTAACAGATTGCTCTGGTGATACTAGCGTTCTCCAGGAGGTGACGCCAGCAGCTCACGCTGGAGGATTTGGGGTTGTCGGTCTCCCACCTGCTGTCCTGTCAAAAGCCTAACTCTTAATTTCAAATGCGGAGCTCAGTATAGGGAATGTTCAGGAAATCTAGTTTTACGCGAGCTGCAAAGCTGAGAAAGGCGGAAGGAAGATCAGACCGTGGCTTATTTAAGCCGGGAGCGAGGCGGGGAACAAGACAATGAACGGGACTGAGCTGAGGCGTGACAACAACAACTTGCATTTATATGGCTCCCTTCAGGCAGGGTAATTAATGTCCCGGAGCGCCTGAGAGTGGCGGAGTCTGACACTCAGTGGTAATGGTTTAAAGTGTGTCCCAAATCAAGTCCGTGTCTGTCATCTTCATGAGTTTACAATCTGTCCCGCTCTTGTGGATCATAAACGTCTCTCCTGATGAAATTGGTGTTGTCATCACTCCAATCTTTGTAGCACAAACACACCAGCATCTACTCGCCTCCCTGATGCTACGTGCATGATTTGGGGAGCAGGCGGTGTCAAGGCAAAGGCAAGACGGCCAGGATGTTCTATTCAATGACAGGAGGCAACGTCCTCACCAGAAGATTAAATATCTGACGATGTGAGCTTCAGTTCCCCCGCCACCCCGCCCATGGCTCGGTTGGTAAAGCTCCGAGTCTGGGGTTAATCGAGCCCCAGAAATGGAGGCCATGGGTTCGAAGGCCTCAGAGAGAGCAAGGAAATGCGGTTTGGGAAGAGAATTCTAGAGACCTGATGAGACCTCTGTGGCTCAAGGCTTAGTCACTGACGGTGGAGCAGTGAACCCCAACCTGGAGACTGGAACATCACACCTGAAGCTAAAGAGATGCTAGAGCGCCCCCTCTGGGCCAAAGAGGTACTTCAGGCAGCTCAATAATAATAATAATAATAATCCTTGCATTTGACATAGCGCTTTTCACGTGTTCTAGACTAGCTCAAACCTGTACTTACTGTACATTGCTTCAGCTTTTTTACTGTCTGATTTGAGCTTCTCATAGATTGTCATTCTGTGTAGCTCCGCAGTTAACTTAAAAACCTAGGACTCAAACCCTGTTGATCTTTCCCCCGGTCTCAGTATGAAGCTATTTGGTGCAGTCTCAGTGCACCTGCTGCTCACACCACACGTATCTCTCAAGAGTTGAGCCGGGCTGACTATGTACAGTGAGAATCCCTTCCCCGAACCAGTTAATGTCGTGTGCGCAAACACACACCTCTTTGACTGCGATTTTGGGCATCTTTCCTCTCCGCACTGCTTAGGCTCCCACCCACAGTTTGAGTTTCAAGCCAACACTGTGAGACACTTTGAAAGGCACTGTGAAAATGTACATTTGTAGGGTATTTTCTCTGGCTGTGTTTCACTGGACCTGCCTTGACTCTCAAAGGAGGCTTGACATGTTTTATTAATCACCGCAGTGTTATCTGTGGGCTATGATAATCACGTGACTGGAGGGTTGGCGAGGGGAGGACAAGGCGTAGTCTTCACTGTGGAGGGTCCAGAGTCACCCGACCTCTATTACTCTTCACATGTCTCTGAAGACATTGACAAGGTTAATGTGCAACAATAAAAGCAGAAAGAAGTCACACTCAGTAGAGCTGGGCCCTGGTAGAACATGGTATCAGGTCTCAAGTGGCTGCAGAAGGAGCTCAACGGACAGTTAGATGAAAAATAAAACCAGGTCCAAAATGGTCCAAACTGTCCTTGTGCTTCACAAGAGAAGAGGCGGCAACAGGGGTGGTCTCAGTTCAACTCCCAATCTGAGCAGCGCCAAAATCCTGTCCTTCGAGTAACATAAAGATTGTTGGCCATGAGTATTCATCTCTGTGTCTGAAGTCAGTGCCTGTCCAGATGTTGAACATCACAGGAAACAAATCGGGTTTTTGGCTGGGATGGAGCTGCTTTGAGGGACTTTGAAAGCTCCCCACCTTGTTCCACATTATTTATTCAGCAGTTTGACTAAAATCTACCTAGATGTTCTGTAAAATAGTATGATAGGAAAAGGACATTTTTGATTATGGGAGTGTTGTGGATCATTACAGGCATCTCGTGATGAGATCTTCAACAAGCAGGATATCTTGATTTGTGGACGTCTTTTATTAAGAAGTCAAGGCCACAATGTGAGATAGAATCAAGGTTCACAACCTTAGGAAGACAACAAGATAAATCAAGAAGTGGAGAGGTGATTCTAATACTGGGTTTGTAGAGTTTAGGAGGAAGGGAAGACTGAGGGAGGTGAGGAGTGCTATAGGTTCAGGGAGTTAGAGGAGACTGTGTGACTAATCTTAACTTCAACAGAGTGAAATTGAATGGAAGGATGAAGGACATGATCCAGTTATTTAAAATGTAATGGAGATGTAAACAAGCTAGTTAACCTGGATTGAGAGCCAGTGAGACAAGGGATTAGATGCCCACTGAGAAATGGGTGCCTGAAAGAGGCTGGAGTGAGTACTGTATCAATCGTTTCTGACTAGGAATGGCACTGCATTTATAGGGACAAATGCTGAGAATGATCAAACATTCCATGTAGCACAATGGGTTTCTTACCTCCACTGACAGAGCAGGGAGGGGGAGAACCTCATCCCAGCCGCTATTTCTGGTGTGAATGTGAAGAAAGATATACTAAAGTTAAGGTAATATTTAAACCTACCTGGTGGGTAAAGGAAAGTGTAAGGTGGGGGAAGGAATTCAACCATTTTCCAAATGATGTAAGATCAGTAGATGGTACAGAAGTATGGACACAGTGGGGGGTTTTGGCTCATTTATGTTTTCACCAGTAAACTGCTAAGCTTTCCATTATGTGGAATGGTCAAAGGTCAGTTCTCACTCTCAATGAAAACAATATGAGCCATTCAGGTTCCGTTCAGGAACTACTCAACATTCAACTATATTGGACACAAGCAGTTAGAGCAGATAAGCAGTTGCAGTGTTCACTTTTTGCCAATTGTTTTTGTTACGTTTCTTTTATTGACAAGCCCAGGTACCGAGGCAAGGCATCACCAACATTTAATGGCCGGGAGAGAAAACAATCAGCATGGAGACGTAGTGAAGCCCGAGGAAGGGGAGGGGGATGGGGAGACTGAAGCAAGTGAAGAATCTCATAGTTAGAAAGTGATGCGTTTTACAAAATTGATTTCTACCATCAACAAGTCAACGTTACTGAGGTTAAAGGGTCTTTCAACACTTGTTGCCTGAGTTCACACATAAAGACTGTCTGTTTGAACAAGGTCCTGGAAGGTAGCTGTTGCTAGTGTAGCTATACCCCAGGATGAATTGAGGGGTGGGGGTGGGGGGCGGGGTGTTGGTGGGGGGTGCAAGAACTGAAGAAGGGAACAGAACGAAAGCAAAATCTCTCTTTACTACAGATAAACCTGCAGTTGTCCTGTTTCTAAGACCATGTGTGCTTCACACAGCAACGGTAGTGTTTGTGACTGCTAATCCCCTTTTTTCCCTTTTCTCTCCTAAACCCCAGGTTATTGAATGACCTGTATAATATTTTGCTCATTCATCTGGCAAATGAATGAAAACCGCAGGATTTCACGAGAGACTGTTAGTCATCTGCAGGATGTGCCTTTTGCTCATTCTGTTGCGTTGGTGCAAAATATATTACAAAACTTCATAAAACTTCGAAGTCTGTGTGGGAAAGTTTTTTTTCTTTTGTTATAACTCTTGTGTGGTCTGCCAACCATGGGGGGGGGAAGAAAAATAATATTTCCAGAGGTAACTATAGCAGCAAGCATTACTCATACTGCTCGGGCCATCCTCCTGACGCAAAGGCGCTATACAAATGTAATTTTATTGTTGTTGTTGTTGCCTGTCTCTCCTTAGCTCCCTATCCCACTTGCTCTTCCCATCCTCTCCTGAAGGTGCTGACTTGTGCTCGAGTCCAGCACCCATTCATTTTGTGAGAACCCAGAGAGCGAACAATCTTTGCAATGATGCAGCATTGACGTTGATCCACAGGTAATCACTGTCAAATAGTAACTGCTTTTATCTGCAAACCCAGAAACCAATGTGTGTATCGCAAGGTCCCTCAAACAGCATGAGGTGAATGACCAATTCTATCTGGAGGATTGTTGTCCAGGACACTGGGAAAAAGGAACTACCATTCTGCCTTCAATAGAGTCATAGGAGCTTTAATGTCCACCTGAAAAGGCAGACAGGACCCGAGTTCAATGAGTGACAGTACAGTGCTCTTCCTCTCCCTCTCCCCCCCCCCCCCACCCCACACACCCCACACACACACACACAACAGTTGTATGTCAGGCTAAACTATAAGCTGTGTTCATGATGTGGGGCTTGAACCCACAAATGTTTGACCCACAGGTAAGAGTGCTACCAAATGAACCAGGCTGAATATGAGACAACGAGGCATCACTACAAGCAAACCTGATCTCACCCATTGACACAAACATGCCCACATTTCCCAGTAGGGCCATGGTTTGATGTGACTTGACATTTGGGTAAAATTGCATGATATTGTTCTAACCAGTAGGTGGTGATCTACGCACTAACAATCAGAAAAATTTGGGCTCTGGACTTCAGTGTCTCAAATGAGCTGAGATTCTCCTCTCCCTTCTTTCCAAACCAGGACACAACACCCGTTCACACACACACACACACACATTCATACACACACACACACATACATCCTGACCAGTATAGAAATAAACCTAAGAATTGATACTTTCCCAGTTAATTCTATCGGCAATCTAACTCGCTACGAGTATATTCCAGCATACCGTGTACACTGTGACCTCAGTCCCATGTACACTGTGACCATGGTCCTTTATACACTCTGCCTCTACCCCCCTATAAACTCTGGTGATGACATTTTTCATTGACTGAGTTTTATCCAAAACTCTGGGTGCACTCCTGCTTAGGACTGATAACCCATCCCACTTCCAGCTCAGACTGATCCCTGTTCAGAAGTTTAATTCCGAGGCCCACCACCCCAGGCTGGGAGGCCCTGATATGGAACATCAG